AATCAAAAAAAAATGCAAAATTCAAAAACAACAAAACGTATGACTTTTCAACACTTAAAACAACAATGAGGAGACAGTTTGATATCACAGACCTCCTTTTTTACTTTTATGCAGCTGAATTTATTCAAAAGCTTTTACATGAAGAGAAATCTATTGTTGTTGCCTTCAAATTAGACAATGTAATAAATCGACGACATTTTATCAATTAATAATATTCATGTATCATTTGTATTCATATGCTCAGTAGATATATCCTGATGAACTCGAAATAAAAGACTCCACATATTTATGTTAGAAAATACAGTGATGGCAAAATATCAACAAATAATATGATAAACGTGATAATTTCAAATTTTCTATGGTAAACCTTCCTTATTTTTTAGCAATATACAATTATCACCTGCATAGGGTGTTTTCATCTAGAATTTGATTCAGTAAGGAAAAGCATGTTTCGTTAGCGAACAACTTCTCAACAGTGCCAGCTTACTGATAAATAAATTGATGGTTCCAAAAGTATCCTGTCGTTAAGTTGCATGTTGTTGGTCGTATTAAATATGGATTTTTTTAGTTTTGTGAGTTTTATTGGTGCTTAAATCACAAGGACGTATATATATTTCCTGAAGCGCTCCTACGAGCAAGTTTGTGTGATTTACACACCAATAACACGAGTTCACAAACTGAAAAATTCTTATATTTACAAACAAAAATATACTGACGATTGGCATTTATGCTACCCTATTTCGTTATATTTTTGTCACCATCTCGTTAACTTCTTTTCGCACGAGTTTCTCTGTGTATATTTCTACGCGTGACCATATACAAAAAATGGCATTCAAAACAATTTTATGGTTTGTTTAGTGGGAAAAAAACACAAAAAAAATGTAAATATTACAAATTGAAAACCATTACATCTATTTTCACACAGAATTCTCTAAGGATTACTCTGTTTACCCGTATAAGAAAAAGGGCTCACGGCATCTGTGCCTGATCCCACCTCTGATGTTTTCGAAGATCCCTGTTTGTTATGCTCTCAATTTGTGTTGTTTAATTGGACTTTTTAGCCTTGTTGTTGTTCGTCATTTCACATTTCGTTACATATATTGATGCATGATTGCTGTATGATGTGATTGATTCTTTGTGCGCAGCGGTAACACTACACAATTGAAAATCACTTTATGTTATCGTAATTCTAAAAAAACAAATAGCCCCTGGGCAATGGGATGCCCTTTAACTTTAAAAGCAACCCAGTCTGATTTCGTTAATCAAAGCCAACTAGCTACTTTATTTGTGTCATTTCCATTGATATTGGCATGTGTCCAAAATAAGTGCACTGAAATGGAACATAATTATATAGATTCATTTAATGCATTGTATAATTGAATGATTCCTTCCATGAACAGTGGAGTGTTTTACTAAAATGAAAATACATTCAATGAGCGACATGACTTGTGTCTTTCGTTCTGTTATTCATTTCTTTCTTTTATAAAAAAAAATAAATAAATAAAATAAGACGCATATTTCTCAAAAGGCTTTGATTGGTTTGCTTGAAATTTTTAGGAATAATGTTTTTCTGACTGATTTATTATTTCATTTGTGTAATCTTTCACTTCCAGCGTCTAGACAGAGTTAATTTTCTGATGTTTGGGTACCTCTTTGTCAGCACTACTCCTCAATAACTGCAAGAGATGAGAAGTGTTCATTTGTAGAATACATGGTGGACACATTGTAGTTTTGAAACTTCCTAATATTTCATGTATACAGAGTTTTCACAAATTTTTACCTATAAGTAAACTTAGTGGTCATTAAATTGGAATAGGGGAGCAAGAAGAACGCTAGAAGAAAAATATTTAGTTTCCATGGCATCAAAAGATTTAAATTCCAATTTTAATAGAAACAGATCCCGATAAACTGTTTCGCATATTATCATTAGATATCATGTCTAATTAGGCGTTGGTCGAGATATGGAAGCATCTTTAAAGAATGGCCACTACTAAGGACTAATTATGAACATTTACCGTGGCTTTCACATTTTCACCTGTACATTAATTTAGGCAACTAATAATGTAAAAGCTGCCTAGAATTATAGGCTTACTCAATGAGGCTGAAAGACCCCTGGATGTCATCGTAACAAAACTTTTAAGAATATTTTGATTTCAAATTAATACCAGGGTATATTCCAGTTTTTTAATGATGAACATTTAAAATGCACACGCTCGGTCGCTTCTTCGTACGTTAAAATAGAATGGAAGATTAATTCCTTATGGTCATGGAAACAAGACCATTCATGGAATCTCCATTTTAAGTCATTGAAAAAAAATATTAATTTTGTTTGAATGACCACGACAAAATCAAACAATTATAGTCTGTAAATTAAGATTTTACTTTTCTTTACAAAAGATTTTCATGAGAGTGTAAATTAAAAATTAACCTTCAAATTTTAAAAAATGTTTACAATAGATACCTAAAATTAGATATTGATAGTTCATAGACAAGGCACTCAACCTAAACAAGCCACAATGGTTTGTCGTTGTCTATTCTTGTGTTTCATTTACATATTTTAAAAAAAATTAATCATTTCTATAGATTTAAATATGCTACTTCTTAAAAAAAAATATTATACATGTAAATGCTAATATATATGTAGATATTTATTTCTCAAGATTTTTATTTCTTAAACGTATATAAAACACAAGACCATTTGATATTTCTAATTAAGAATACATACAATTCAGGGATAAAATACTACAATAAACGAATTCATTTACCGATTTGTCCAATGATTAACATCAGAAATATGTAATCATCTTGAAGATTTAAACAATACTTTTGCTCGTTCATTTCATTATGCATCTACAGTAATACAAATTATTTTGCTTTTCAACTCAAAATACATGAGTAAAAAAAAATCTACGATACATCGAATTTATTTGGCATTATCTATTATCTTTTCGAATGGACAAGATGTTAGTAAATTGATTTAATTAATCAATTTACAAAATGAAAATCCAAAGAAATTCACATCATATTTTGATCAAGAAACATCAGCATTCCACGCCAAAAAATTACACCATGTGCCGTTGGAACCTGAAGGATCGGCTTGTGCGGGTTTATAAAGAAATCATTGACGTGCATAGTATGTAGCAATGTCAGCGAACACTGTATAGTGTTTTACAGGACTTGTGGTAGATATTTCTATAACAATACTCTTACTTATATTTCAAAGGATTTATTCAATTATTATTAAAGGAGCTTCTTATAATTGGATAATTGTATTGAAGTTTTAGAATTCAGACAAATGATATCCCTTGAATCGTTGTGATTTTTTTCAAAGTATAATCACCTACAAGTCGTTCTAAGCTAAGGTAAGTAGTACCGGATGATGAAACAAAAAAAGTATAGTAACTAGATCTCTTTCAAGACAAGAAAAATTCCTTCTTTATTTTTTTTTTTATTTGTCAACTGTTACAACATTTAGTGGGAGCTACTAACGAGTTATTATATTTCATTATCCCAAACATTATTTTTCGAATTCCATGTTACTTTTCATATGCAAAACCTTTAAACTATTTGATTTCAGAGTTTGAAATGTATCAAAAACTTTTCAGAAACAGTAACTAAAATTCTCTTATATATTTAATTAATTTTATTAGTAAAACTTACGATTTCAATAGCTTAGGAGTAAAGAAATATAAGTTACCAAGGTTTTTATTATCAAAAAAAATCCATAACTTAATTTAAATATTTTTATCTTTTATTTGACATTGCAGAAAAAGTATCTTGTTTCACATGCAAATTTCTTTGCACTTTATTTTTTGAGTTTCAAAGAATAAATGTAATATCTATAATATAATTATATACTTAAATATTTAGCACTGGATTGCTAATAATGTATATATTTCAGGAAAATATATCAAAACTAATATATATATATATATATATATATATATATATATATATATATATATATATATATATATATATATATATATATATATATATATATATATATATAATCCTAGATGACTTTTTATCAAATGCAAACACCTTGGATAGGTTATCCTCCATTATTAATCAAAGCTAGCTGTTATCTCACTTATCTGAACATCAAGGTGTTCTACGCTCTGCATGTAGTATTTGTTTTATCCTAGATACCTTTCGTAATTTAGCTGTGTTTAATTATTATCTTACTGAAAGAACCAGGAGGTAAGAAATCATCTGACATAGTAATTCAGATTTCCTATTAACTACTTAGTTCCTGAAAGGAAGAGCACCTTATATTGTATAGTAGGGCATGACTGTTAATTCATTTTTAATCAAGCAGGGATATTTTGGGCAAAGTTGAAAAGAATTTTGCTGACGTATTTAATGACTGAAAGGTACCACATTATAAAAGTGAACTAATCTCAAAAGATGTTATTATGTTCTGGTATGATGTTTTATTGGCTTTAGCTCAGTTCTGCACTACTTCTCTTTCTGAAATTTTGATTACTATCCATAGTCATCAGTTAATATATAACAACACTCAGTGACTTTTATTTGGATAAGGAACCGTTTATTCGACTTTCTTTTTAAAATTGAGTCACATCGCCCACAACTTAGACATGACCTTTAAATGTGTGTTTTTGATTACAATCAGTGTATTTGAAGGAGATAAGTTGTATTCCAATGTGTTCTCATGAAAACTAAAGGAGAGCTGTAAGGATTTGTTTCTCAATCTAACAAGAACTTAAAACATTTTATGATAACTTTCTCTTTAAAACTGTGTAGCGCATTTCTAGATTTATAAACAAATCATTTTCTAACGAATATTTGAAACTTCATACACTATAAGTACATTGAAATTAGGAACAATCAATTATCCATATAAAAAGTTGATAATTTTTTTATCTCGTTAATATTTCGGAAAGGAAACGTTTGATATTATTTATTTGTAAACCAAAGGATTGTGTTCGTAAGCATTTTCAGAGATTTTATAATTAATAAAGAACTTGTCTTTTTAGGAGATTGGTTTCAGTATGGTCCTTTACCTGGCGTTAATGTGTGTTGTTTTTCCCTCCATATCTGTCTCCCAAAAAAGTAAGATTTCTCATTAGATTTGTAAACAATTTGATTGGAGTCATATCATTTCATAGATATATCATAAATGGTTATGTTTATGTTTTCCCAGAATGTCTCTCTTGAAACCAGCTTATTAAATCAGGGAATTTACCATTTCATTGATATAAAGCACTTCTCTATCTTCTTGATCTATATTAATTCAATAAATTGCCTTATCAATAGGTCATATTGAAGTTAAATGTTATGTCGGTTGTAAACGCTAATTTAATACATGTAATATTATATCATTTGATCACATCAATTAGGCAATGCACAGAACGAAATAGTAAGATTGGTGGACGGTAAAAACCCATATGAAGGGCGGGTTGAAATCTCCCATTCTGGTATCTGGGGGACCATCTGTGACGATAAATGGACGGACAGAGAAGCCGGGGTCATATGTCACATGATAGGGGCAATGAGGTACAATGGCCATGTCACTTTGTCTTAATTGTGCTGTTAAGATATCAGCCAAACATTCAGTCCAAACATAATCCCTGTGGATTTTTTTTTTTGTAATTCATGCTCTGCTCCAAATTTGTATCGTTGCATTGGACTTTCGAGATTGAATACTGTTCGTTATCTTCATATTTCATACAGAAGTTTGATGATGCTTTTTTTGCTAAATGTATAAAAACAAATCATAAAAATATTATTTTGTAGTTCCCATTGACCTTGACCTCCATAGATTTAGTTACTGATTCCAAGGATTGTTGCGTTATTTGTTTTATCTATATTAATATTTTCACAATTCCTCCTTAGAATTTATTGAAAATAATTAATTTCAGAGAAAATGCCTCAGTTAGGAAATTTTCAAAGTTTGGAAATGGTGTCGGAAGCATATGGCTTGATGAAGTCTCTTGCATCGGGAATGAAACGTCCATCGTAGATTGTTCTCATACAATGTGGGGAATCAATGACTGCACTCATGCGGAGGACGTCGGCGTCATTTGTGTCCCTCACAGTGGTAACTTACAATAAGGAGGCAGCATATGCAATAATTCCTTATACAGATATTACCCCAGAACAAAATTTACCATTAATTATTATCCTAATTTTCAACAATTCTATAAAAAACGTAATTTTCTTGGATCTTTTATTGAATTATGTTCGAACTATTTATTTAGACACAACCATCAATCCTTCTCCCGTGACGACACTTCCAAAATTTTATGTCGCTCCGCAGGAAAATATAGTTCCTTGGGGACACTCTTTCCAGCTGATTTGTTTTACACCATCAGATAATATTCCGACATCATATGGTCAAATAGTATGGTGCAAAAATGATGTTATATTCTTCAACCAATCCACGGGTAATTTTATCCAATTTTTAACTCAAATATTTTATGTTCTCTTCTAGAAAAAATGTTTGCATATTAGAATAATATCGTTTTTTTAAGAATCACACAACTCCACCAGCCAATGGACTTACAGTGTTGACCACGCCTTATCAATACATACAGCTACTTATACATGTGGATTTGAACAATGTCAAAAGTCATTGGCAACCGTAGAAGTCACAGGTAAGCCTCTCATGTATTATTTTAAATGTCAATTTGCATTCACTTTAATAATGCACTTCAGAGTAATGCTCTTTTATTGAAAATAATTAGAGATTCCAGAGAATGAATGCAAACTGGTCCAGGTCCAGAGACCAGATTGTGAAATGGACAAAATAAACGAAGTTGGAGCAGAGGTGACTATCTGGCTACGTGTATAAGATACTTTTATACTTGTGCATGTTGTATTTTCAGGAGGAAATAATACATTTTAATATTTAATAAAAAAAAAAAAAAACCTTGGTTTATGAGTTTAATTATCGTAACAGATTAATCTCCTCGCTGAAGGAATGACAAAACCCAGTGACATTCATCACGTGATCAAGACGGCGTTACCAAAAATAGCCGCCGTTGTTAAGGACGGTATAACAAATGCTCAGAGCTTGGACAGAACAGTGGACATTATACACAAAATGGCTACCAAAGCAGAAGCCTCAAACGTGACATTGCATCCCAAGGTGCTTCCTTTTTATTGCATGGTTAAATATATCAAATATCAAAAATCAACAGTACTATATTAAAGCTTGTATCAAGGTACCAGTAGTATACTATCGTTTTCCTGTAAGTATCATCTTATTTCTGTGTTTTGTTTATTATTGTATTCACAAATGTACTAACATAAAGTTTTTTCGTCCTTTTAGACGTTTGTGACATTAGTGGATCACTTATTGTCTACCAATCGGACCACTGCCTGGCAGAACAAATCCACACCGGTAAGATGATTGATTGATCATTGTGTGTGTGTTGTTTTACATTCCATTTGAGAATTTTTTCACTCATATAGAGAAGTAACCGATGGAGGGCTTCAAATTTAGACCTATTTTCAGCACTCAGGTCCATTGATCAATAAGGGTTTTTTTTATCATATCAACGCTTACCGTATTACGGGACCTCGGTTTTTAATGTCTCATCCAGAAGAACCGTGACTTTCACTTCTAGTGCTGGGTGCTTGACGAAGGAGCAGTCACTACCTATGTTTACATCTTAGGTTTGACACGGCGCGGTAAACGAGAATCGAGGCCGGGCTCCCGATCATGAAGCGAACGCTTTACCACCGTGACCGATCCGGAAAGATGAAGCAGTCTTCGCGTTCAAATTGATGTGTAGGGATATTAAAGCTGAGAAGTCTTTAATGCATGTAAATTCATCCTGTTCATTTTTACATACCCTAAGAAAGAAGCATGTATTAACTATTTTAAATAGGAATGTAAAGAAACACTTCACAAAAATGATGGCTATAAAATTTGTTTTCATTGTTTTCAATTCATTTAAATAATTCATATAATTTGAATCAGCACTTCGTATTTGTTTTCCTAATTGTTCCTCACTGTACTAAGTTTTTACCAATTATCAGAAGTATTTTAATTTCAGGAGCTGGATATACTAAAACTGATTTTACTGTAAATTCTTTCAACAATATTTATCATCAATAAATCTTCTGTAAACGTTTTTCCTCGTAAATTTTAATGTTATACAATAAAATATGAACATTAAACTGAGAAAAATTTCCCCTGAGAATTAGATTTGATAGATGTTATGTTTTTATCGGAATAGCTTCTTTAAAAATTATGAAGTGAGTCGGAAAGCCAGTGCAGGAGTAATGAAGCGGGAAGGAAATTATGCAAGTTATTACCATCTGAAACTAATGCACATTTAACAAATTTAGAGGCGATCAGGTTCACGAAAAACAATTCTACTGAAACTGAGAGAGTTTAAACTAATTCACCTAATTCTCAGACTTTCTTCATTATACTGCAATGTACATAATGTTGACTTTCGGGGATCATTGTGTTTGTTTCTTCTCTATTTTTTCTCTCAGATATTTTTTTCTAATCTTTCATTTTTGTCTCAGCTAAATCTTTAAAATGCTTTTGACTAAGATTTTATCAAAATCGATTTGAAGAAGCAGACATTTTATTTAATGTAGATCCACCCATCCCTTTTTCTCATTATGATCTCATTATTGTTGTCTTTGTGGATAATTCCACTTAATGTGTTCTAGGTGTAACTTCTCATGCCCAACTAACGTATCTTTGACATTCTATGAATCATTCAATTTGATGAACTCTATTTCCTTTTTCTTAACGTCTCATTCATTAGTCTTTTTGTTAGTATTCATTTATTAAAATCATTTATAATATGGTCGATCAAATTGGCGTTGCTCCCTTTTAAAATCAAAGTTTCTGTCTCTTCTTGCTACAAACGTTTTTAAGCAGCAAATTGCTTTTGGAAAAAATATTCAAATGCATATTTTTTCCACAAAGAGTTGGTAAACAAAAAAAAAGAAAAGAAAAGAGAAAATAGTCACTGTCTTTTCTTTTTAGGTTGAATCCAGTGTTAATAAGATATTACAAGCTGTGTCGACCTTTGGTAATGTAGTAGCGAAGACGGTCACGCTAAATGAAAACGTAACGTTCACTACGGATAATTTTGGTAAGACCTTTGTAGAACACGCACACATCAGAGCCAGAGGGTTTAATACATATTGTGTTAAAAATCATTTACATAACGGAAGACGAGTAAACAAATTGTTAAAAGCTAGATGTGAGTTCGGGACGAAACTTAATATAATGGAATTTAACAACAATAAAACTGAGTCAATTATTTTAATAGCATATTAGTATTTGGCAAAATTAATTCAGATCTATTATATTGAAGTGTACCATGTTATTGCTATTATGTTATTATTATAGTGATCATTTGGAGTAGCGTATTATTATTACATCACTGAATATTTGTAATTTTTAGTTATGACGGTAGCCAGGGAGACTAGGGACAAAAGCATTCAATTCCCGGAAGAGGAGGAGTCTGATGGGACATATTTAGTGCTCCCCCCACAACTACAAATCAACCAATCAGGTAAAAGCAGTATCCTAATCGACTTTGCAGTTGTATTTTTAAAATTTTCCATCCAATTCCATATAAACATATCTGTAACTAACTGTTCACATGATGAGTTCTATTTCATTGTAGATTTCAGCTACGTAGCTACTAAATTCAAGTCAATTTCAGAAATTCTCTCTGGAGGTGCAACTTCAATGTAGGTTTATATATCATTAAATGGTTCATTTTGCAAGCATGTATATTTGTTTAAGGAGTTGACAATGATTCCATAACTATAACTACAGACACAATATTGTTTGTGTACAAGTACCATTAACATAATGTAATCTTTTATAGTATTTGACATAAAAAAAAAAAGTTTCAAACGGCTTAATAAAAAAGACAGCTTTTCTTTTAAGAATATAAATTAATATAATTTGTAAAAGTTTTCACTCAAATATTGAAAGAATCCCATTCCTGAGTCCTTTTATTTCTTTTCTACAGCAATACTATGGTGGACGATTCGGTAGTTTCTGATGTCCTGGCCTTGTCTCTAAATGGGGAGAAACAACACTTCAATCTAAAACCGGGACTACATCTGAGTTTCACCCATCCTAAACACGCAAGAAAGAGTTTCTTCCATCTTAAACACGTAAGAAATCAGTTTGGAAGGTTACACAATCATAGTCTCTTTACTCCGAAATTTTTTTAAGTAGAGATATCTGAGTATGTTCATTTTTCCTTTAACCAGTCATTAGACAATATAAAGGCTTGTTTTCTACATTTTTTGCATTTATGACAATACATTCCATCATACAATATAAAGGCCTTAGGTAATAGTTAACATTTTGTGGAATGTGCTGTTGAGGCTAAAAGATGACCAAACTTCTTCATATAATTAGATCAATTGGTATCGTTTAAAGTATTTATGAGACAGATCTCTGTTGTTTATTTTCACCTTTTCGTATATGTATTTCGTTGTCAGGATATGACTAAAGCTGGTACTGAATGCGTGTACTGGAATGCAAATAAAACGTAGGTTGATTATGATTTCTTTAGAGCGATGAAATGTGGCAATGGCACAAAACATACGTTTTATGTTAATGAAATAAAGAAGAAATACTCAGATAAAAATATTCAATTTTTATTGGTACAATAAACTTGTTGTAGGGGTACATTTTCAAGTTTCATTTTTAATTATACAGGAAAGGAAGTCATTGGTCAACAGAAGGTTGTGTAGCAACCAGACCAGGGGAGAACGTAACAGACTGCTTGTGTGACCATCTGACTAATTTTGCGGTACTTGCAAGGCCATACCAAAAGGTTTGTCTGTTAAGACCTGCTGGGAACAACACAATTTTACCATGTGATTACATTTGAATACATCCGCCAACTAATAATTTGATTCTCTTTCAAACTTTTTTTTTTATCTCATAATTGATTAATAAATAGATTTGATGTATCCTGACGTTATCTGATTGCACTTCTGACTGACATTTTAATTGTCTTTGTTAATTTACTTTGTTTTACATAGACGGCATAAATCAGGAATCTGTGATAAATTTATGTATAAAGAATACAAAACCTCAATTAAACGTCGGTGCCATCTGGCTTTCTGTATATATACCTAACGAAAGCTAGACACAATCAACAATAATAAATTGTAACAACGAAAAAATACGTTTTCACAAATAACTTCTTATTTCCGCCTGGAAGGAAGTCTGATATTTACAAACAATGAAATAAATCTCTGTTTTTCGATAATGATCAAGATGTCGACGTCTAGTTATTGTATACTGCAGTACTTTAAGCCATGTTTTTTTGTATGCATTGTTTAGGAAACAGACGAACCAGAGGCCCTGAAGTGGATTTCTCTGATTGGATGCTGTATTTCTGTCTTTTTCTGTGTCATCACTGTTGTTATTTTTCTAGTGCTTTGGAGGTTTGTGTGACTTTCTGTTAATTACATAGAAATTCTCCTGTAATCCACTCCGACAGATTAGTCAAGCATTCAGAGCATATGTTCGTGTAATTACAACATATCACCCTTGCCATCTGGGAAAAGTTTGAGCACCAAATTCACTCAGACGAAGACGTATACTTTTTTTCATTTTAACATATAAATCATGACAATGTTGTATTTTTTACATGCAGATTCATCAGATCTGACATGAATTTACTGGTCATTCATCTGTGTTTGAGTATCGCCCTGGCCTACACGCTGTTTGTTGCCGGCGTGGAAAGGACAGAAAATAAGGTAACTCAGAACACTTATTATCCGTGATCTTAATCATTGATTACGTATATAATTTAGCCGTTTGAAGCAATGTACCTGTACAAGAAAGCTTTTAGGTTCCTTGGTTCTTCATTTTGAATATTCCTAGGCAAAGTATTACAATCGCCCTGGATTTTTGTGAAATTTCTTTGCTACACAAGTGGCTTTAAAATACCCTGTTAAATACTGTTCGCTGTTCTTAATCTTTTATAATTTCAGGATAGTTAAAGACAATAACACTTCTTGTTCACTTCTGTTTTATCACAAACAAATGTAACCGATGTTACTCATTGTTTTGTTAGTGATACTTACATAATACTCTTACTGCATTTCTAAATGTTCACTCAACATCATATACCTAGTTGCAGAATGCATGTGTCACTTAGTTGATAAACAAAATGTATATTTATAAACGATAGTTTTGTTCAGCCTGTTGACATGTATAAGCAAGAACGAAAAAAAGTTGCCTCTCAGGCTTTCTATTTGAATGACTTGTCTGTCTCACATTGTTCTTGCTTCTCTCCTCACGAAAATATTAACAGCACGGAAGGAGAAACCCCAGTGGTACTGTAAAACAACGTATTCGAGAAGTGGTGTTAATCAAATATGGATACTTAAAAACTCTAAACTTTAAGTAAGAAAATCTGAATTCAATTTTTTTTTCTCCAAAATCAATAGCATCAAAACATACAACTTTTCAATACTTAATGCGGCCATTCCCAACGACAACTTAAAAACCAAGCTATTTGACATCATACATAACTGCTTCTAAATAACATTGGAACTCGGAAATTTTCCTATTATGTTATTTGTCATCTACAAACTTACTTTGTAAATAGCAGATCTATTTTTGCATTCATATTAAGCAGAATTTATTTCAAAACTTCTACATGAAAAGAAGAAGTCATATGCTGTTTCGTTCAATTCAACATTTAGATATATTGACAACGCTTTATCATTTAACAATATTCATATTCATTCCTACATTAATTCGATATATCCCTTTGAACTCGAAATAAAAAATATCACAGAGTCTGATACACCTGTTTCATATTTGAATATTTTACTAGAAAAGACGTTAATGGTAACCCAGCAACAAAACATTATGATAAACGTGATGACTTCATCTTTTCTATCATCAAATTCCCTTATTGTTGTGCAATATACTATTGTCACCTGCATACTGAGTTTATGTCTCCCAGTTGATTCGATATGAGCTTGCTCTACCTACGAACTATTTCTAAAATGAGGCAAGCTATTGATAAATAAGATTATGAAAATTAAATATCAATAGTCTCATTTAAAGTCAAAATTTCGTAAATTCTATGATCGATACAATGACCTTGTCTGCAAATACAATCTATCATTAAGTCGAATGTTGACTGAGTTTCATCATACAAATTGTTAGGCCATTATTTTTACATTGTCTACGGATTTTTCCGTTTGCCCGATGATGAGAAGGAGCACACGGCGGGTGTGACAGATCGGCAGCGGATGCTTAATTATTTATGGCACCTCATCCCACCTCTGATGTTTTCCGAGGTCTGTGTTTCCTTCTCTCCAAAGTCGTATTGTTTCAATTGACTGTTGAGCTTTATTACTGTTCTTTATCTTCATATTTCGATTGTTTAAAAAGCGCATTCTGATTTTGCACGCAAGAACTCTGAAATTGATATTAAAAGATGCTTGTGTTTTTCATTGACAATATCTATTTAGTCATTGGAGACCTCCATGGGTACCCTATTATTAGCAGACCTATTTTTGTATTTTTATTCAAAAACTTTTACATGAAAAGAGAAGACTCTTGCTTTGGCCTTTAATTTAACATTAAGATATAACAACGACATTTTATCAATTAAAAATTATTTTCATAACATACCTTGATTTGATATATCCCTTTGAACTCAAAATAAAAAGACACAACTGCTTTATATCTGGATATTTTACTAAAGAAAGGCATTGATGGTAAACTTAACTTTATGATAAACGTGATTACTTCAACTTTTCTATCGTCAACTATTATTTATGTAGCCATTATTTTCATATTGAGTTGTCTACGGATTTATCCGCACGGCATGACAAAGGGCCCACGGCGGTATGGCCGCTGTCGCATAATGTTTGGTCGTCCGTCTCGTTTAAAGGTCCGGGGGGACCTAATACGATAACATATAAGGTCCGCCTTTTATAAAAAATAAAAATCAAAAAAAAAAGGTGAGAAAAGGTCCGCCTACGTATACGTTTAAAGGTCCGGGTGGTGCAAAATATTTTAATCATGTTTTGCGACACCGGTCGACAGAGGATGATTACTCCTCCATTGTCCCTTATCCCATCTTTGATTTTTTTTTTTTTTTAGAGTTCTGTTTTGCTCTGCTCTCAATTTGTATTACATTATTGGACTTTTGAGCTTGATTACTCTTCGTAATCTTCTTGTTTGATTCATATTATGCTTCTACAGTAACTGATTTTAATAACTGTTGTAATCATGAAAATAAAAACCAACGATTTTACTCAATTTTTTAATCCACAGTTACTATGTTTGACGATGCGACAGTTAAAGTAGGGACAGAACATGTAAACCACACAATATGGGTATAGATAAACTATAAGTAAGGGGCTGGAAATAACAATACTGGAAGAATCAAGACCCAGTTATTTCACTATGAGTTGCATTGCCAGGGCAAATATCGAGTTACATTATTAAGAGTTGTATTGCCAGGACACATATCCAGTTATTTCATTATGACTTGTATTGCCAGGGCACATACCTGTACCCAGTTATATCATACCTAAGAGATGATTCAAGACCTCACACCTCCTGAAATTCTAGACAGGTTGTAATAATGAACAAACAGGTGCAAACATCATAAACCCTAACTTAGTTAATGGAAGACACCAACCCAGAAATGGAAATATTTCGAGCAAGACCAGGAATCGAACCCAGAACCCTTTAGCTCTTAAGTAATCTATTTGATCTGAACTAAGATTAAGTACATGTAAGAAATGTCAGTTAGTACAGAACGTTTAAAGTCGAGTTACCATTAATTTAGCCTACAGAAAGTATTCTGTCGTCGCCTGAGAAAAACAATGTTCAATCTGCATATTACAGAATTTTTTTAAATGTTAGCACTCAGGGATCGGTTAATTATTTCTCAGAAAAAAATATAATTATACCCCCGCTCCGAAGGAGGGGGGGTATACTGTTTTACCCATGTGTGTCTGTCTGTTTGTCTGTCTGTGTGTCTGTCTGTCCGTAACAAATTTTGGTCGCAGTTTTCTCAGCAACTACTCATTGCAGATGCTTGAAATTTTAGCATACTCTTTGTTTAGGCATGCCATACGGTGGGATTCATTTTTTTGCGAATCCGATGTCAACTTCCTGTTTATCCGTGCGTCTGTACATAACTGAACTTGTGTATTCACATCAGAGCGGGGGTATTATTAGTGAGCATTGGCTCACAGACTTCTTGTATTTTATCTCTCCGTAGTAAAATAATTAGGTTTTTTATGTTTGATCCTAATTATTTGTAAAATTCACTTTACATTAATTTTAGAAACGTTGTCTTATTTGATTGTTTAGTAGGATTTTAAAGATGAAACTGAAATGTGAATAAGTTTAAATTATTTTCAGACATACCCAATGCATGTCATGTAACCACTGGTAAACATTATGATTTGACAAAGGAAAATAAACTTTTTTCTAAATCTTAACAAATCTTCATACATATAGAGGAGATGAAACAAACTATTACAGATTAAATCTTCTTTACTTTTTACTATTGGTGAGATAAAAAATCAAATGCAAATAAATTTCAACCAGCAGATTCCAAAGACATTAAAAACTCAGTTCTGATTATTTTGGCTTGCAAAATATTGTAATTTTCAGGCGACGCCATGACAAGGGTAAAGCAGGTGCAAGTTTCTGAAGTCGGGAACTTTACAAGTATATGTACTTTATGAATATAATTTGAAATCAACAGCTTGCACCAGATCAAACTATATCATGTTGTGACATGAACGTTTTTCAGTTCCCTAGTTTTTGTAATAAAATCTATAACTTTATGGTAGAATTGTATAAACACATGGTTATATTCGCTGTCAAGGGGCTCTTTTCAGAGAGCTCCACCCTACCTTATTAAACAAAATTCTACTTCCTTTATTTTTGTAAAGAATACTCACACTTTAGTTTACAAAAACAGAGTTTCTTAACTTGTTGTTACTCATAATACTTTTCACTTACATACCTAATCTCTTTTTTCAATACTTGTTTGGTGATCACAGAACATGCACAATACTTGTTTCTAATCACTCTATTTACAGGTCACGTGTTTGATTATCACAGTGTTTCTACAGTACCTATTCCTAGTTGTCTTCTGCCTCATGTTGGACATCGGGATATACTATTTTGTACACGTGACCCTTGTAAAAATATCCTTTCTCAGTGCCAACAGATTTACATCCAAATCCAGGAAGACCCTATTCCTTCTCATTGCTTACGGTGAGTGCACGATATGTTTTGGGAAAATGAATATCTTCAAATTATACTTTCGAATTTACCCTGACAAACATATAGGTTTTTCCATCAACGATAATACATTTACTTGGAAGTAACAAACATGCAGTAAAAAAAATTTTGTATATATATTGGTCAAAGCATTACATCAATGTTTTAATGATTATTAATGCATTTGCACTATAATAATAATTGATTAAGGCATATTTTACGAGACCAAAAAAATCTTTGATTGGATATGAAGTATAAGGATATAAAAAAAACTTGATTTCTCTTTCCTCCTTCAAACACAATTTTCACAGACACTTCTCTACTGGATATACACAGTTTACAGTTCTTTGTGACAGCTGCAGGATAGCTGAGATCTTCTGTTTGACGGATTTCTATATTTCAAACATGAATGTATAAAAGTTTTTTGTACTTGACAATATTTGCTAGCTTTTAGATATCCTTCTTGTATCATGCTTACGCATTTTAGCCTTAAAATTTGTCAAATCATGAAAAACAGAAAAAGGTAATTTCAAGCATACAACAGGGAACGCCATGATTACAAAAAAAACTACACAACGAGATTTTTAGTAAAACTTGTTCGTATTTTCGTTGTTTTTTTTTTTAAATCAATAATCTTAAAGAGTTATTTTTTCTTTTTAAATTGAGGTCTTTGTTTCTTAAATTGTGGTTTTTCAATTACTTCTACTGTTTAAAAGATAAAGTAATATTGAGATCATTTATAACAGATACTGTGTGCATTCAAAATTTATTTGATAAATACAAAAAAATCTTATTTGATATTTCTTGCAAAAAATCATTTTCAAAATGTGTTTTGAAAGTCTTTTTCAAATTTTTCAAATTTGAAAGTCTTTCGTTGTCTTTGATAAGAAAAATACCTTTCATTTATGATAGAATGATGTCTTTGATAAAATTGGAGCTTTGATCAAAATTTGAATTTTTAGCTTATTGATATCATTAACAGCAAATGAAGTATTGGATAAGTACATGAATGCAGTTATACAGATAAATTTTAATAAGTAGATGGTATTCTTTTAAAATTAATTACCTGAATTCACTCTGAAAATGACAAAGCTATCAATTATTTTTTTTTATGGAGGGGGGTGTTAAATTATAGTATACTTGAAAACTGAATCCATAACCTTAGCCTTCCTTTGCTGATAATACTTTAGTACAGGTGTAAAGACTCTGAAGTTTTGTAAATGCACTTATTGAGAGAATTCTCAGAAAACATATTTTGTGTTTGGTTACAAGTTGATTTTTTAAACGAATGACAGGTACTCTCATGTGAAATATAAATACAAAGGCATCATATATTCTTCTAAGCGAATATATTCAAACATTGCGAGATACATGTACTTGTACGTATTTACGTTCAAACAAATATCAAAGTCTTACTTCTAAGATAACACGTCTTTGATGGACACAGTATACCAGGCATACATTTCATACCACTGCTGTGCTAAATACCTCTTATTAAGAATAAATCTGACATAAGCAACAAAAAACGCTTTATGACATAGAATGTCTTTAGATTTTCAGGAAATATGATGAACATTATATGTGTGTGATTCACCTCCTTAGCTTTCATCTACTAGTATTACCATACGTTCGCCGATATACATTGTTGAAAGTACAATAAAACTCCTATAATCCAAATTCATTGAATTTCATCCTGATTTTTCATGCTTCTTTTGAAACTGCTTTCTTTCTCTTGTTATGAAAAATCATTCATACCGCGGAACAACTAATCCTGATAAAAAAAAAACAGGTTTCAAAGTGAAAGTATGAATAACAGGTGCTCTATTTTTTGTAGGTCTTCCCGCTGTTATTACTGGCATCACATTAAGTCTGACGTACCCATCTAACTACCATCCTAAAAATATGTGAGTAAAAAATCTTTTGTAGATTTAGGACGTTAATATCAAAGGGAGATAATCATTTTTTTTCAGAAATGAATTATCAATGAGAAAAAATGATGATTAACAGGAGAATGTATATCCACTAAGTGCGACAAATATACGTTATAATCATAATGTAACAAAACTAACAATATATTAAAATTATAAGCAAATATGACACCTTGGATCATACGATGTATAGAAAATACAGAGACTTTAATGACAAATTTTGGATATTTTGTATTCAAACTGCATACATGTATTTTATAATGAACACTTTTTTATTAAATTCAATTTGTCCTGATTGGATCCATGTTGACCATGCCTATCAAATCCATTAGCGTTTTAGGAAAAAAACTTATTTAATCCATAGATATCTTGTAGAAAACTCAATTCTTTGTGAGAACTAGAAATCTTTTGCTATATTAAGGAATTTCATGTCCTCTGAGGTTATGATTCGGGCACCATGGTGTGCTTCAGTTGATTATATATCCTTCAAAACTCTGGTATACTTCGCTGACAAAGTTAAAGCTTGTTGAAAATGAGCAATGAGACTTCTGCCAGAGCCATGGTTTTCAAGTCTTTGAGATGAAGGTTTCGTGCTTAAAGGAGGGACTTCCTTTCAAAAGTGCACTTTTCTGTACCTTAATTTTATCTAACAAAATCTTTGTTTATTCTCTAAAATGATGAATTGTTAAATCCATGTCTCATGGCACTAATTCCATTTCCCTAGAGTAGCTTTAGTTCAAAATACATAAAATCTTCGAAAATTCTTCTCTCTATTCCTGAATGTATGGCAGACAAACTGTCCATGTGAATATGTTAAGGAATGTACCAGCACTCGTTAGGAATTCTTAAAATCATGTTCTTCTGGTCTCCGCTTTTTCGCACCAGAATGGTAGGCTAAAATGCTCCTTAAATTTTAGCAGAAACGTTGTTTATTTGATAATATTCTTTTGTTTTTTTAGAATGCCTCAATTCCAACTTGCTGGCCGTTTGAGATAACTTGTCTTTTCTTACAAACGACTGATGCCTTGTCACCTATTATTTATTTAATCTTCATAAGTTCTTAATTTTTCATCGTTATTTTTGACGTTTTCACAATTATGTGTAATCACCTAATTCTGAATTTCCTCTGTGTCAGATGCTGGTTATCGTATGACACTGGTGCTCTTTATGGATTTCTAGTTCCTGTTGCGTTTGTTGTTTTGGTAAGTATATATTCCATATTTCTCTTTCCCAGGCGAATAATTAATGTAAATTGTGAAGATAATGAACAGTGATCAATCTCATAAATCCAGTATAAACAAAACAAATTGCGAACAGGACACAACCCCCTGGAAACATCAGAGGTGGGGTCAGATGCCTAGAGGAGTAAAAATCCCCTGTTGACTGTTCACACCCGCTGTTAGCCCTGTGCATTGATCAGGTATGCGGAGTACTAATTAGTAAAATAATGACTTAACAAATGGTATTAAACATTTCAGATAAAATACAACCGAAGACTATTATAACGTCATTATAACGACCGTAGAATTTCTCCATTTGAAAACTTAGAGCATACTCTTGCGTATCGAATCAGTTGGAGACATAAACACTATATGCAAGTGATGTTTGAATGTTAGAACTACATAAATAAGGGAAGTTGACGATGGAAGAGTTGATATTTTTCGTACATGACTTCAAGAACTTCACTCAATTCATAAAATTATGATCTGGGAAGCGAAAATTAAATTATGTACACAAATTTCTCAATTTGGTTTACAATGTGAGGCACAATGTGCTACATGTTTAGAATTATTTTCATGTCTTCTGTTCAAACACTACAAGTCTTAACTAGAATCTTGAAAAAAAAATAGATGTTCTGATCGATTGCATAGATGTAGCAATACAAACGCATGCAGATGGAATTCAAAAAGTTTATAACTCAGAAAGTCATATCCTTCTTGTTGTCACTCAAAGTTCTGTCGCAAAATTTCATAACAAATCCATGCAGTTTAAAACACATTAAATAAAATATAAAATCCTGGATGTTCAGGATTCAATGGCATACTTGATATTATATTGTCCTTATTACCAGAACATTATTGTAATTTTTATGCAGTAAAAAGTACAAGGCAAAGCAAAAAGGCAATACTTACTGTCCAGCTTTCAACATACATATAATACCTTTGAATACTTACAATTTCTTGAATTGCATGTGCAAAACAGCTAAAATCTCACATTCAAATTCGAACGTTTGGTGCAAAGCAAAATTTTCCGACATATACAATTCTTTGTCAATTATAACCTTGCATCATTAATCTATTAAAAAAAGGGGCATCCCGGTATTTCATAAAATATGCAAAGGTTTCATAATTACAATTTAAAGTAGGAAAATCTTACATACTTCATAACGACAAACATGAAAAAAAGAAATAATATTGTAATTGCCGTGCTCTTTTTTCAAATCAGAGGTAAAACAACAGCCCAAGTCCGACAGTGCTTAACAGTGTGAAGGCAACACTTATTTTGAGCATTAGCTTATCCAAACTTCTACTCACAAATTTTTGTCCCAACATCTGATCACAGCAGGAAGGTAAAGTACGATTTCCATCGTCTAGCATGTCGTCAAAGATTTCTTTTTCAGAGGTTTGCTCTTTGTCATCAACATCATCCTTAACATCTGGTTTGTATTTATTTTCCTCGGTGCTCTTTGTCTCCATGTTAAAATTTTTATCATGGGGGTGATCTTTTGAAGATTTATTCTTTTCTGGTGAATTCTGGAATGCCTTGTTTTCGTAATCTTGTCGAATGACGACCTCTTTTTGAACTGTAAATATTTCTAGTTTCTTGATCATTATATGGTGGCTTCTGATGACGATGACTGACACAAATATAGAAAAAACACTAGAAATCAAATGAATACAGAGATATAGGGACAAATAAGGAATGTTTGTAGATTTCCGCGGCATATTTTCTTCAAATAGCGTCAGAAAAACAGTAAACGCTAGCAGGACTGTCAAACAATATGTCATTCTTTCACCGGAAGTCACTGGAAGACCGTAAGATAAAGAACTGAGGATGGCCAGTAACACGACTGGGAATACAGTACTCATCATAGCATATAATGGGCGTCTTCTTAGAAATATCGTATACCTTACTTCAGTCATGTTGAATTCGCGAACAAAAACAGACTTCAAATCAGTTTTAATGAACTCCCATTCGCCATTTTCTGATATCTGTTTCATTTCATTAAATCTCCTTTTGGGGAAAAGTTTTTGCATCCAGTCAGTCGTCTGCCAGGCGGCGATACGCAACTCACATGACTGTTTATCAAAAGGAAACTTCTGGATATCCAGGAGACACTCTATTGTGTACTGGTCACCGGGATACCATACAACCAAACCGCTAGAATAAACGGAAACGAACGGATTCACGCCCAGATCATGTGTGTTTGTCTCCGAGAAGTAGAGACTGATGTCAGGGACCCAGACTTTGGTATATGGAATATTTACCGATCTCAGTCCTACAAACTCTTTTTCATCCCACGACAGGAAATCGTCGTACCATGTGACAATGAACCAACCCATGAAGGTGATATATTGATAGCGTTCCTCCACTGTCCTCAATGAGTTCATGGTAAATGTGAGATTGACCAGCACCGACTGAGTCTGGTCTCGTCTAGGTTTGACGATGGTGCTGTAGTTGGACAAAAGTCTCTTTTCCAAAAGTCTGGCATCAGCACAGAATGATGTTGGAACAAATAGAAGGATGATTATCGCTGTTCTCCAGGAAATCATTACCGGTACTTTGTGTATGACTTTTAGTCAATGGGCACAAAATAATGAAGTTTTTCATAAGCCGTGAAAAGAGTTAAATATGGCAATATAATAATATTCTAATCGGGAGTGTCGCTAGGCTTCAACATCATAAACCTAACGAACTTGTTTGTAATTTAAATCTTCCATTTGAATCTTAATTATCCAATAGATTCGAGATTTTTCCCTTGTTACTGTCACCAAAGACTTTTATCTCCTGAACAGCAGTAAATTTTTATCTTGCTTCATCCTGTATCTTGGAGAAAATTTTCTTTTTTATCAATGACAATGAAGCAAATTATTCGACCTAACGATCATTCATATAAATGTTCAAAACAAAACACAGCGTCTTACGACGTTAAGACAGTCTCTACCTGTCCTAATGACCGATTCTGTGTAATTTCTTTAACAAACGATCTGTTTTGTCACGCCATTCATTGAATCATTGAAACTCAATTATTAAACAAAAATAACGTAAAATACGTTAATTGACCTTTTTTTCCTAATTCAAACAAGATGGTTAATTAAATTCCATTAAATTTTTTTTTAAACTTTGGAAATTTTTTGTGCAACCGTACGGAATAATTTCAGAAATTAGTGCATAGAAGATCAAATTATGATACTGGGTAAAATCACTGATGTTTAAAATGAATGCTCTATAACTGGATTCTGGACATATTCATTTCCCTAACATACATAATGTAGAATTACAAAGGAATGAAAGAAAAACTAACTTGTAATGAAAACGGAGGAGAAAATACACACTCACAGTCTATTCAGTCGTTAAATAAGAAGGAGAAGACCTGAGCACTATCAGAATGAATCAAGTATTTTAGAAATATATTGAAGAATCGTATTAGAAAGTTAAAAGACAATGTGATCCATCTATCCTTCTGTTTTCACTAAATCGAAGGTGATACAAGAATTAGAAAGACTACATGAGCAATAAGTTATCGTTCATCGTTTTTTTTTTTTTTTGTATGGCTCATAATTAATAATGCATTTTAGAGGACTGGGTTTTCATTCTACGTCTGGAAATCCAACTTATACTCACAGTTCACTTTCTAAGAATGAAATTGACGTTTTTCATACTAATTGTTAGGCCATTTACACACTGAATTGTCGGATTTTTCCGTAATTTCCCGACCATGACCGGTCAGCAGGGGATGCTCACTCCTCCATGGCACCTGATCCCACCTCTGATGTTTTGGAGGTCCGTGTTTGCTCTGCTCCTATTTTGTATTCTTTAATGGACTTTTGAGCTTGAATACTGTTTGTTATCTCCATATATTTCATTCTTCAAAATCACATTTCATTGTTTAATACTAGTACTTTAAACATTCGAGTCAGGCAAGATGAGTTCGGTCTACCCTATCTATACTGGATTCATTAACTTCATGACAATTCTTACAAAGATACATTAACGCGTCCAGCAAATGCTCTACCAAGCCCATACCTTTACTCCTTACAAAAATATAAACTGCTGTAAAAGAGAAACGTCAGATGCACTGTGCTACAGCATATACTAGAAGTGGTGAAAATCATATGTGGATTCTAAAAAATTCCAAAGAAAGTCAGTAATATCAAAACGCACGACTTTTCTACACTTTATACAAACATTCCTCTCTATAAATTAAAAACTATGCTTTTTGCATATCAGAGACAACTGCTTCTTCACTATAAACAGAACTCAGAAATTGGTCATCAACAAAATTACATTGTTAAAACGCCCTCTGATTCTGCACACAAGTACTTTGTATAGTTGATATAAAAAGGATGCGGAGTTCCTTATTGACAACAATTATGTAGTCTTTGGAGACCAGGTCTTCCAACAAACTGCTGAAATTCCAATGGTCACTAGTTTGGTTTCTTTATTAGCCGACCTTTTTTTATATTCTTATGAAGCAGAATTTATACAAAATCTCCTACATGAAAAGAGGAAAGCACTTTCTATGGCCCTCAACTTCAATTTCAGATATATCGACGATATTTTATCATTTTACAATAGTTGCTTCCAAACATATGTCGAATCGATATATCCCAGCTAACTCCATATTAAAAATACCACAAAGACTGCCACATCTGTTTCATATTTGGATGTTCAAATGACTCTAGGCAATAAGTGCCAACTAACAACTAAATTGTATGACAAACGAGATGACCAGCTTTTCCATAGTCAACTTTCCTTATTTATGAAGTACGAGGGGTGATCAAAAAGTTCGCGAACTATATCTATATTTACAAAGCCACAATTCAGATCAGAATGAAATTTGGCACACAGATAGTCATACACATGTTCTATAAATAGCAGGTGTTAGGTAATTTTAGCGCCATGTTTGTGACGTCACAATGTAGGTGACTTGTGACAAAAATGGCTGACTCAGTTGTATTCGAGCAACGAACGGCTGTAAAGTTTAACGTATATCTTGGAAATTCCTTGGCAGTAACATATACAATGCAATAATTTGTACAAAGTTTATGAAGACAAAAGACTTGCCAGAAGTTTAATCATTAATTGGTTTGATTGTTTTAGTGACAAAACCTAGATGGTTTGTTCTTTTACCCAGTGAAAGCAAGCTGGGAAAGAGATGTGTCCTTAGTTTAGCAATTTGTTCTGAAAAATCGCCAAGTTACAGTTAGAAAAACAGTTGAATATCTTAACAATGATATAATTATTAAATCCCTAAAATATCGTTTACTTTAGACTTGAAACATATCAGATATGATAAAAAGAAGGCGTTTATACTTTATCCACATTGGATAAACGACGCTCCCAAGACAGAGGACTCGGGTTGTGATGGTCACCATGCTCATTCTGGAGGACATCCTTATCCACCCATCCTATTGCCGAGATTTCGCCATTTTTGACAAATGGACTGTTCTTGTTATAAAAAAAATAATTTGCATGTTAAGAAATATAAGACTCAGAGAAATCTTTCAGCTTCTGTGAACAGAACGCTACGGAGCAGGTCAAGTGACCGCCTGGATCACGTGATTTGCGCATGGACAGAACGGTGGCAGATGTGCATTAAAATTGGAGAGGACTACTTTAAACAATAATGAACACTGAAACCTAATTTTATTTCTTTTATGGAAATAATTCAATAAGTTCGCGAACTTTTTGATCACCCCTCGGAATATTCCGCTATTTTCTGCACATGGTATTTACGTCTCCAAATTTATTCGATGCTTAACAGCATGCTCTTAGTACGATCAATTTTTAAACGGAGGCACACAACTGACAGATAAGTTAATGTTACAGGGATTTCAACAACCTTGTTCAAAGTCAGTATTTTGTAAATTCTATGGTCTTTCTTACGACCTTATTAGCAAATATAACCTATCATTGAGTCGTATTTTTGGCTGACTTGTTTCAAACCAATTGTTATGCCTTTGTTTTTTATACAAAATTGACTGCGGAACATTCCGTCTACTTCATCAGTAAATAGAGCTCGGTGACCGGTAAACGCTCCTTCTTGTGTTTTCTTTGTAGATTTTTTGAGATCGATACATGTAACTGTTCCTTATCTTCACTTTTTTTCATTTTGAAAAAAAAATCTCTTTGGTTATTAAGCACATAAAATAAGATGAAAGAATTACAGGAACCCTTCTGGCAAAATGTTACTGATATTCTTCACGTTATGTCACGCAAATAGCCGGATGGCTTATATATATGGAATCAACTGTGATCGGCAAAAGCTGATCACAAAAATCAAGTTATAATTACGTCTTTTAGTTTACTAACTATTTCAGGAACGACTTACCTCTATTCTCCAGGCGCCGTAGGGACCTTCGTGCCCCCCCCCCCGCCCCCCAATAATTTTGCCAGTATATACTATACAATAGAAAACGAAGTAAATTTATGGTTGTGGCCCTTCATTTATTTTGCCAGTATGTACTATAAAATAAAATCTATGTTTGTATCCCCTTCTCCAAAATGAAAATGTCTAAAGCTTTTTGTATCCCCTCCTGCAAACGAAGTTTGGGTAGAGGTATATGAGAATTACCTTCGTCTGTCCATGTAAGCTTGTCTGGGCTATAATTTTGTAACGAAGAATCATTGTAAGTTCATACTTTGTTTAAAGATTGTTAATAAGATGAGGGTGTCATGACTTCGCCAAAAAAGATTCCGGCAAGCTTAAGGTCACTGGCAGAACAATGTATGAATTATTGTCCGGTGTGTAACTTTGTAATGGAGAATTATTCAAAGCTCATACTTGGTACAAAGATTGCTTCAGATCTGAGAATCTGTCATGACTTTAAGGCAAGGTTATACCGGCAAGTTCAATATCATTGGCAGGAAAAGTGTGAAAATATTGTCCGGTACAACTTTTTTTATGGGGAGATATTTGAAGTTCATTCTTCAGAGAAAGAGTGCTTATGATCTGAAGGTGTGTCACAAGGTCGTTTGATCAAGTTCAGGTCAGTAGTAGAAAAATGTTTAATTCCTCTCCTGGCCATATCTTTTAGAGAACATTAGTGACTCCATCTTTGCTAGCCAAGGGTTTCCGATCCGAAATCTACTCTACAATTGTAGAGTAGATTTCGGATCGGAAACCCGTGGCTAGCAAAGATGTAGTGACTCATAGTTTTCACAAATACTACTTTTGACTCAGATTTCCTATGATTAAAGGGTGTTTCGTGATGTAATCCAAGGTCATTCCAGCAAGTCCAAGATCAATGGCAGAAAAAGTGTTAAATTCATGTCTGAATAATAACTCTCTAATGAATAATCATTAAAGTTCACACCTCATTCAAATATTACTTATGTCTTAAAGGGGTGTCATGATCTTGACCCAAGGTCATTCTGGCCAGTCCAAGGTCACTGCCAGAAAAAATATAAAATATTTTATGGACATTGAAACTTCAAAATATTTAGAGCTAAAAATATGACATAACCTTGACCCAATATCATTGTGGCAGGTTCAAGTCATTGGAAGAAAAAAAGTGTTATACAAGTACTTAGTATTCATGTCAGATCTTTTATTTTTCTTATAGAGAAACATTGGATGTCCATATTTCACTCGAAGTTTACTTTTGACTAGAGGGTGTGTCATTTGGTAATGTAACCAAGGTCATGTTGGCAAGTTCAAGGTCACATTTACAAAATGTCAAAAAAAAATTGCAGCTGTGGCGCTCGATCACAGTACCTCTAGGGTTGGGGGGGAGGGCTTTTATGATGATTTGGTGTATCACCTCTTCAAGTTAAATTAGTGAGTTTACTTCAACGAATTGTTGTCTTTAAACATTAAAGTTTAACATTCCTTTTCAACAGATAAATTTCATCATCGTAATTACCTTGGTCGTTACAATGTATTCAACACAACTGGCGTCCACCGGCACCATCAGACGGAAAGCAGTGTGGGTATTTCTCTTAATTACAATATGACATGCAACGCTTTATATAATATTATAATTAAGACTTTTGTTGACATGACCTATAATCAAAATCTTGAGCAAGATCTCATTGTGTAACTCGGGAAAACTTTATTTTTATAGTAAAATCTTAAAGTATACTACATAAGAATTGCAGGATTAATTAAAGTTTCCCTTAGAAAGGGTGAACGATCACAGTTGACATTTTTTAAACAGGTTGTAAACCAATAATCTATAAGATAAACGTACATGCTTTGCTTGTAAATTATTTGTTGAAAACGATAAAACATTTTTTACGTTACTACCCTGTGCATGACAATCTTCGATTTCAGTATTATGATATTTTTAGTGACTGATAAACTAAACTGTAGAACTGATGTCATTAAAGAAATTGTTAACCCGTATGATTACAATACTACAAAATGTTCATGTATAGCTAGATGCTTTATGCAGAAAAAACAAATCCATGTACTAAAAAGAATTGTGTGAATTTGTCTTGTAGCTATTACTTAATCATTCATTTGTTGTCTATCATTTGATTCGTTATCGTGACTGTATACAAACATGGTGACGAACTAAATAAATCGCAAAACCCCCTAACTCCATCACTACCCTAACTGCGTCACTTTCGGGAAACTCCGCGCTGTTTGTAAGCGAATGCGGTTCTGACGTCATTTTTTACATGTTGAAAATCTACAATCAAATGCCGATAAATTTTTACAGTCAAGCTCAAGAATGCATCAAAAATAAATAACAATTAAACGTGATCTATCGTATCTATCATATTTTAGGTGAAATCAGTAAGCACTTTTTCCTTTCTGCGCTATTTCATCGATACCTCCGACAGGTGCGTCAATATGCTTATTTTTACATGTCAGTCATATTTATGAAGGTCTTTGCCAAAGGATTAATATGACATGCCATACTGAATACGGCTAAAAATATTTTATGTTTCGTCTTAATTTACCCTAATACGCTACACGTTGGAGATAACGTACGTAGCGTAACGTTATTACGTATAAAATACGTTATATTAACGTTATTTTTTCTGTTGTTGATACTTTTCCTAAAATACAATTTAACACTATATTAAATCTCCAAAACTAATTATCTATGTTTACAAGTTGATGATGAAGGGAGAAAAAACTAAACTGGAAAAAAATTCTAATTAATACGTTGACATATTTTAGAGGGCCCTGGTGACGGAGTAAGGGTTCATTGGACGTAATGTACACGGGTGTGATACGCGTTCTATTTATAGTAGTTTTGTATAAACCCAATAACTGATTTTTTAGAAATAGTTCTGAAAACAATGTTTAAGTTCATTACTAAGTGTAGCAAACAAGATAACCTGGCGTGTTTTCCGCTTATAGTGACGGAGTTCGGTAGAAGGGGGTAACGCAAGAAGGGGAAGTTACTAAACACTACTTGAAAGGAAAGTAATTCAAACACAATGAAGACAGGAACGATAAAAAAAATTATATGAACAAAATATAGTGAAAAATAGACGGAAAATCAGCTAACAAATCAGAAAAAGGAAAGTACATTTTATCATAGACCTAAAGCAGATCTATGATGTAATGGGATGAAATGAGGAATCGAGGGCATTTTTTTTTAACAATAAAAAACAATTTCTGTGTCTGTTGCAAATTGATTGTCGGGATTTTCTGTGAAGAATATTTTTGGCTGTGGATCATTATAAAGATCCTGATTTATTTCATTTGTTACTTTAAGTTGGTTGTGTATCCCAAAGCTGAGAAAAGATATTTAATTGACTTGTTGGTTTTTTTTTCCCTATTTGTTGTAGAATGGGTATCCGCAGTATATCGACATTACTTCCGGTTATGGGAATCACTTGGTTATTTGGCTTTCTTTCCATCAGTGAAGATGTTATCGTATTTCAGTACATATTTGCAATCCTGAATTCTCTACAGGTGCGTGAATTCCGAATTACACTGTAAATCATTCTATTAAAAATCTGCTTATTAAAATTTGAATAAGGATAATCGAATACGTCGTCTATGGACGAAAGTTTTTCAGTGATTTGACACTAGTTTTCTTTTTTCAGGGATTTTTCATATTTTTATCAAATTGTGTTTTCAATAAAAAGGTAAGAACATACAAGTATTTACATATTCAACATGATCATTGTGCTCTGGAAAGAAAAAATGGTTTCCATTACATAGATTTTAATAATCCATAATATTTGTTTGCTCTACTTTAACAGGTCATTGAAATAATAACAAGAAAATCTCCAAAACAGTCCACAATAACACACAGCTCACAAGACAAGGTTTGTTTTGTTGTACATTGTATGTGTATAGCTCACAAGACAAGGTTTGTTGTTGTACGTTGTATATTTATAGCTTACAAGAGACAAGTTTTGTACTGTTGTGTATTGTTTGTTTATAGCTCTGACAAAATTTACCACAGCTTCTTTTGTCAATGCATGTTGATATCATAATTACAAGCTACACACTTTTTATCTTTTCAGATGTCCTTTGTTGCAAACAGTGAAGTTGGAGATGAGATTTTAAATGAGGTACTTGACATTATGAAAGTCATGTTAAAATGACAGTAAAGTTTCACATTTCGTTAATGTATTAATATTACATTCCGGATTTTCTCAACTTCTGCGTGTTAATATTCTTTTTTTTTTTTTTTTTTTTTTTTTTTTTTTTTTTTTTTTTACAGATAACCAAAAAGCTATCAGTTAAGAAAAGTGGCAGAATCAAAGCACAGAACAGATCTCTATATAATTAACATCTGCAGTGTTAATCATGAGTTGTTAGAGAGAATGCATCAGTTTTCAGAACTGCCAATGCAATAAACAAAGCATAATATTATCAATGGACTTGTAAATATTCTGTCTTTACATTTATTTTTCTGTGACATGTATACATCATTGTTGTGATTTATTCTTGTTTTTAAAAAAAATGTGTATCAAAGACATCTTGTCAGTTATCTATTGTTGCCAAACTGTAATACTGTAGATCACTAAATTTTCACGACACTTTATTTTCGAGAGATAGTCAATATCTCTTAATTAGCGAGACAAAATTTTCACGATTGTGGTTATTGCTCTTAATAATCATAAGGATTATTATTACACGCGAGAATGAAATTTTTGCGAGCACACTGTCTTGCCCAATTACTCGAAAATAAAGTTCTTCATGAATAAAAGGTGATTTACAGTATGTATAGAAGTGGTTTATGGTGCACTCTTTGGGCTATATACACTTTTTATCATAACAATGGGAAGTAACCATCAAGTAGCTACATGAGGTCAACAATGGGGGACTGTGAAGAAAGCAGTGATTAATAGAAGTGCAGTTAGAATTACAATTAGGAGGAAGTTCCACATGAAGAGATGAAGGCACAAGTATTTTAATTTTGATTTCCTCTTCTACTACCTTCTGTCGTCTTCCATATCTTTTGTCTTCCTCACATTCTCTTATCATAACTCTTTTACCATAAAGGGAGCTAGAAACATCAGTCCTAGCAGTAATAACTCTAAACAATAATTACTCTAAATTTGCATCTACATGACAGGTTTTATCAATCAAACAAAATAGAATGCCAAATGCTATAATGAACTATAAGTACTGTGAGCACTGACCTCACAAAATGATGCCCCGTACCTCCTACGTTTATAAAGGCAAGAAGTCCATGTTTTGCTATGGGAAACTCGAAATAAATGTCAGATTAAAAAGTAAAATAGAAGGTACACAACGGCACCATGTAACAAAGATTCTGTGAACGTCTCATTAAATTTTATTCAGTGGCATTGGAGGAGTTGCAGATAAGAGATGCATGGTTATCCCTCAATATTATAAAAGGAATGACAGTGTTTCTATGATGTGCTATTGGAAACCTGAAATATGGTCCAATCAAAAAGTAAGAGACGGGTACCCCTCAATATTATAGAAAAAATGGCAATGTCTGTTTTGCTATTGGAACTCGAAATATGAGTCCAATCAAAAAGTAAAATAGCAGGTGTACAATGGCACTATGTAACAAAGATTCTGTGAAAGTCTCGTTAAATTTTATTCAACAATTGATCATTAAATCAAATGCTGACTGACGTTTTTATACTAATTGTGTAATCTAACACCCAAGCTTTATGATAAACGTGATGACTTTAACTTTTCAATCGTCAACTTCCCTTACTTATGCAACAATATTACCTTCATCACCTGCATACGGGGTTTATATCTCTCAGTTGATTCGATACACAGCAAGAACATACTCTGCGTATGAATAATTTCTAAAACGAGGTAAGTTATTGACAAACAAATTGATGAAACAAGAATATCAGCATTCTCGTTTAAAGTCGTCATTTCGTAAGTTCTATGGTCGATACAATGATCTTGTCAGCAAATAAAATTTATCATTATGTCAAATGCTGACTGACGTTTTTCATACTTATTGTTAGGTCATTATTTACACCCTGAATTCTCGACGGATTTTTCTGTTATTTCCCGATCATGACAAGGAGTGTGAACGGCCGGCAGGGGATTCTCACTCCTCCATGGCACCTGATCCCACCTCTGATGTTTTAGAGGTCCGTGTTTGCTCTGCTGCAAAATTTGCATTGTTTAATGCCCTGGAGCTTGAATGTTGTTCGTTATCTCCATATATTTCATTAAGTGGTATATAGGAAGAGTTGCGAATAAGAGACGGGTACCCCTCAATATTATAGAAAAATGGCAGTGTCTATGTTTTGCTATTGTAAACCCGAAATAGGTTTCCAATCAAAAAGTAGAATAGGAGGTGCACAATGGCACTGTGTAACAAAGATTCTGTGAAAGTCTCATTAAATTTTATTCAGTGGCATAGGAGGAGTTTCGGAATAGAGATGGGTATCACTCAATAATACAAAAAATGGCAATGTTCTATGTTGTGCTATTGGAAATCCTAAATATATGTCCAATTTAAAAGTAAAATAGGAGGTCACAATGGCAATATGTAACAAATATATTCTGTGAAATCTCATTAAATTTTATTCATTGGTATAGGAGGAGTTAGGAATAAAGGATGGGTACCCCTCAATATTATAAAAAGAATGGCAGTGTTCAATGTTGTGCTATTGGAAATCCGAAATATGTGTCCAATCTGAAAGTAAAATAGTAGGTGCACAATGGCACTTTATAAGAAAGATTCTGTGAAAGTCTCACATAATTTTATTCAGTGGCATAGGAAGAGCTACGGATAAGAGATGGATACCCCTCAATATTATAGAAAAATGGCAGTGTCTGTTTTGCTATTGGAAACCCGAAATATGTGTCCAATCAAAAGTAAAATAGGTGATGCACAATGGCACTGTGTAACAAAGATTCTGTGAAAGTTTTCTCTGAAATTTTATTCATTGGTATAGGAGGCGTTGTAAATACGAGTTTCGGATAAGAGATGGGTACCCCTCAATATTATAAAAAAAATGGCAATGTCTATGCTTTGCTATTGGAAACCCAAAAAATGTTTCCAACCAAAAAGTAAAAATAATAGGTCACAATGGCACCATGTAACAAAGATTCAGTGAAAGTCTCGCTAAATTTTATTCATTGGTATAGGAGGAGTTGCGAACAAAAGATGGGTACCCCTCAATATTATAGAAAAATGGCAGTGTCTGTTTTGCTATTGGAAACCCGAAATGTGTGTCCTATCAAAACGTAAAATAGGTGCACAATGGCACTAAGTAACAAAGATTCTGTGAAAGTCTCATTAAATTTTATTCAGTAGTATAGGAGAAATTGAGGATAAGAGATGGGTACCCTTCAATATGATAAAAAGAATGGCAGTGTTCTATGTTGTGTTATTGAAAACCCGAAATATGTGTTTGATCAAAAAGTAAAATAGAAGGTGCACAATGGCACTGTGTAAAAAAGATTCTGTGAAAGTCTAATTAAATTTTATTCAGTGGTAAAGGAGGAGTTGCAGATAAGAGATGGGAACCCCTAAATATTATAGAAAAAAATGGCAGTGTCTATGTTTTGCTATTGGAAACCCAAAGTGTGTTTAATCAAAAAGTAAATAAAGACGTGCACAATGGCACTTTGTAACAAAGATCCTGTGAAAGTCTCATTAAATTTTATTCAGTCATAAAGAGGAGTTCTAGATAGGAGATTTGTACCCCAAAGCATAACGGACAGACATACAGACATCCCAATCACTATACATCGGGGGGTATAATAAAGCTAGAAGTAGATCTGATTTACACATATCTCTGTCACAAATTCTGTAACTAAAATCATGTATTCTGCTCCCATATTTTATTTCATTACATGATCCATAACAAAACAATACAATAAAACAAATCATTTACAATGACAATAGATTTCATGGCCACATTTACAGCATCTTTTTTCAAGAGTAACTATCTTTAAAAGACAGATTACTGTCATTTTGGCATTCACCTCTTATTATCATCATTAACAGCAGAACTTAGATTACTTTTAATCTTAAATGTTTACATTTCTGCTTTGATAAAAGAAAATAAGAATAATGTATTTTGAAATTGCTTTATAACATCATTTTTTCAGCACTTAACATAGCTGCAGAACTGTAGCTCTCTGGTCAACAAAATTTGGAAAGACAAACCAGAGAGTTACAGATCCAAGCATTGCAAGAACCTTCAATTTATGGTGCCGCTTTTTTTATTCCCCATGCTTTGGTATCCTTTCTTGTATAATGTGCATTCCCCAGCTTAAGCATGGTATCCGTTGACTAATCATATACATGTATTTCACTCGGTTCCAAACAAACCTAGTACATAGAGAAAATCTACACTCCTGTGACGTGTGTTTTATACATCTAATTTCATTTTTATATAAATATTCATTTGTTTTCTTTTATAGATGACATAAATGATATTTTGATATTTGACACACCCACCCCAACCACGAAAAAAAAAATTACCTAGATTTTCTCAGGATGTGTATTGTCTGTTTGGAACCATTTAAAGGTAAAAAAAAAAAAAGAACAAGATTACGAGTAAAATATATGGGTAATTGATGGATACCATGCTTTAAGTAGGGCAATGCTTATACAGCAATAATGCTTGAAGTGTGCAACAAAAAAGTAGCATAGTAAATCGAAGGCTTTAACAAAGCTTGGATCTGTAGCTCTCTTGTTTGTCTGTCCAAATCTTCTCAACCAGAGAGCTACAGTTCTGCAGCTATACTTATCACACACATGATTTTTTTTTTTTTTTAATTTGCTCATAAAGGAAAAAATTTTATGCTTCATAAATATCAATGATATAAATAAATATATGTAGCATTCACATATATGTCAACTAACAACATAAACTGAGGGAAAACAATGTTTGAAATTTTTTGAAAATAAATGGGGGCCTGCTTTATAAAATGACTTACAACTAAGAACAAAATGTAATTTTACAAACAACTGTCTTATCTACATTAATTTGAAAATGGTTTTAACCTTTTTTTAAGAGAATTTTGGAAGATACTTTTACAGGAAGGAATTTTTAATAGAAGAGTAAATTTTAAAGATTTTTTAATCACAAATGTTTTTGGTCTTAGACGTTATCTGCCCTGCTCCCTAACCCCTCTGCTACTGGGATCGGCTAACAAGAAAGCTGTTTCCTATGTATCTGATTAAATCCAGGCCTAGCTTCTTCCTGATTGCAGAGGGCAAAAGGAACAGGTTCTAATTTAACCCCCCCTACTCTTCAGTTGACTATGCACCTTTCAGAGTAATTGCTGATGGCTTAATTATGGGAAAAAACTAAGAGGGCAAGCAAGCCATTAATTAGATGGCCCCTGTAACGAAACTAAGGATAAAAATGATATTATTCTATTCTTCAAAATAATATGTCCCTGATATATATTGCCCAGAACATGACAAACGACATACACAAAATCATTATATGAACATCACAACAAAATTTAAGTTATACTATATCAAACATTGAGATGTCCTGTGCTTCAATGAACTTGAATTTTATTCAAGATGTTAAATTCTATTTTGCCGTTTACTCCAGAGTAGAGTAGTAGTACTTCCTCACTATGTGTTATCGTCAGTGTCTGTCTGAGTCGCCGCGCTCCGTCTAACACCTGGTGTCTGTGTGGAAGAGTTAATCCGAGACACTTCCTGTTCTCCTGACATTCTGAGCATGTGCATCAAGTTTCTCCTGATTGATCTATCGTCAGAGTTATCCCCCTTTATGGACATCTTAGTTCTGGAAAAAGGCATACATGCATAATAAAGTTTTACTTTAAATACATCAAAATTTTCACTAAAGTTACTCTGTAGAAGACCACATACATGTATATAAACTCATAGCAATTATGTCTTTATTTAGACTTAATATGGACTGGTCTACATGTACCAGTCAATGCTGCATGGTTGAAATAACATCAATCAGTTATTTGTGCCACTCACCCTGGCCTACAGATATGTAGATCCCCTCTGTTTGTTCCATACACAATCCCCTCCCCCGATTCTGGCAGCCATCGTGTGGAGTTCACACTAACATGGGTCCGAATATCCATGTCACAAGGATGCATTACATCGGTTACATGCTGAGGAAAAGGTACATCATTAAAACTGAGGATCTCAGTGGCCTCGATATAAATAGGAAAATATTTCACATGGTGTTATTTATTTCCTATGAACATACTGATACATACCTGCATTGACTTTTCACCAGCATGTTTGTTTTCTAACTTCAAGATCTGTGCTACCAACTGTAAAACAAATCATCATTACTTAAAACTTTAATTCAAGCATCTCTTTAGAATTCAGGAGTCACATGGATGGGCTACAATGCTCACCCGAGTCAAAATTTTTTGACAAATAAGTATTGGTATGTAGAAAAATAAAACACCACAGAGTTGCCATCAACTTACAATTTATCTCAAAAAAATTTTCAGTATATTAAGGCTTGACATCTAAACTTATTGTGCTTGTGGTACTCAATATATTTTTGTATGAAACTGTCCTTCCTTGTGGCCTAACCCTTAAGCTTGTCCAAGATGTCTGATTTGATTAAAGAAAGCCAAATCTACATCAGAGGGTATGATTGCACATTAATTTGAGAATTTACGACCAGTATTCTTAAAATAGATTTCAAAGATATATGTTTTATTGTAACAACTAGATGAAATCCCGCGCAAGCGCGGGAAATTGAATTTATACCACTACCGACAGAAAATATATTGTAGTTTCTACTGACAACCTACAGCTGGCTTATATCAGGAAAAAAAATCCCGCATGCAGTAGATGTACATCCCCCCTTTTCTGTAAAAACTCAAAATATATCAACTTCATTAATTGACGTTTATTGTGAAACCTGTTATACTATGTTATTGATATTGTACTTCTGATGCTCTTATTTCATTTTCGTCAAGGATAAAGCAGCGAATATGTAGTCAGTACATTTTACTGTTAAATTGATTTGGGGGAGGGGGGAATTAACCGGTACTTGGGTCTTGGTTTATAAATATGTATGTACTTTATTGATATGTAAATAATGTTACAGTACTTTACTTTTTTACATATGAATAAGGTACATACATTTTTATAAACAAAGACCCAAGTACCTGTGTAAAAATTAGCTTTTAACGCCCTATGAATAGGCCGAGTATTTTAAACAAAAGAGTGTATTCAGAAGAAAAAAACTGAAATGTATTGATTAAAGCACAACATTTTACAGCTTTAATTGTATTTGAACAATACCTTATTCATAATTTTCTATTTTCATGTAAGCAAGTGTATTATGAAGTACAAATTGTACTTCGGGTTCGTTGCCACGATGCTCTCAGTGAGATTATACACAAATTTTACCGATAAATTTTTTAGGAAAACCTACTACATATATGTAATAGTCTTTCGATATATAAATATATTAACAACTTATAGTGTTATCAATGATTTACCATTATTTCAATGACCATTCATACAAAGGCTTTTTTAATGTTCACGCAACGTTTTTCATTTTAACATCGGGCTCGATGCTTTATGATGTTCTAGAAGCTTCCGTCAATATTGAGATCGGTGATGACGAAAATAATTTGCACATTTCCCTTTTTAATCGGTTATCACAACTTATCTCTTTTATATCATTTAAATCAAGTTTTGATTGAATAATTCAGTGATGACTTTTTATGAAATAAATAAACGATTGCTTGTTGTCAGTTTCATTAAAAATTGCCAGTAACTTAGATCCGCCAACCGGAAACGCCACCGTACTCACGTTTTTGCTATTTCATGGCTGTATATAGAAAATGAAAGTAGACTTTTAATTTAATGTACGATACTTACTATGCGAGTGAAATCTAAAAATAGTTTACGGACATCATCTTGTATCTAGTTTATTCTTAGAGGAGTAAGTAAGAACTCTGGTGCAGCCGTTTCGGAGTTTATTTGCAAAATTTATTAATTTATAAGTATAGATTAAAATATGACCCTGGTGCTTCTGAGAACAAAAGTTTGAAGATTTTTGTCATCTTGCTACATTTTCCTCTGTAAAACTTTGGCCATTATTGTGTTCCAGCTTAGCCATTGAGCCATAATTTGAACTTGATTCTATGCTACAGAAGAAATGCTTGCATTTTTAATTTCATGAATGATACTCCCTGCTTTTTTTGGATTTTTTTTATATATTCTTTATTTCTTATGCAAAACTCAGGGCGTCTATCATAGCCAATGATCAGGGTGCAATTCCTGTGTCATGTGACTGTATTTTTATAATGTTGCTGTTACCTATTAAATACTTGATATCATGATTACCAAAAAGAACTCTTTTGCTGTGGAGGTAGGAACTGTCTGTGAGATGGGGACAATGTGCTGTTGAATACACTGCAAGATCTGATCACTTAGAGATTTTAAGGTTGCATAAGAAAGCAGTCCTGGTTAAATTCAGTAAAACATGCTATTAAAACTGAGAGTAGCTGGTCACCTGCATTACATTTTTGTTGATACTTTCTGCAAAGCCAACTCTTCTCATCAATTTCAACCATTTTTTCCTAATAATTTCTACCTTTGGAAGTCGATAAAATACTCTAAACATTCCAAATTAGACCACCTACCATCTGCAGTGCTACCCTCTGCAATACATTATACTTTTAGTGTTCATCTGATTGTCACTAGTATAAACAATGTTATATCCGGTAAATCTCACAAGATTTACAGCTTACACCTTCCTTGACTTTGCCCCAAAAGAACTGCAGTAAGTTGGATAACCACGAGGTAATCATGATGCTAAATATTGAGTGATATAACTGACATGTGATAATTCTACTTGATTGAGTGAAACTAGTGACATGTGATTATGTTGCTGTTACCTGATTGGGTGAAACTAATGACATGTGATTATATTGCTGTTACCTGATTGGGTGAAACTAATGACATGTGATTATATTGCTGTTACCTGATTGGGTGTGAACACCCAGGAGAGCTGTTTGGCAGCTAGCCCAACCATCACATAATCACATCCAGGTGACAAGCTCACAGAGATGGCATTTGGTCCTGTAACAAATACAAATATCCATTTACTTGCACCATCAGTTACAAAATTTTACAGCTCCTATCTATAAGGGTAAGAAGGTATGCCTCATCATCCCAGAGTAAGGAGTGAGACAAACATCTTCACAAACACCCTTTTATAAATAACAAACAAATACAGACCATTGCACTTTAAGAACAAACTTTGTGTATACAATCTCTGTATAACTCTAAATATGAAAAAATGATGACAATGCCCTTATTTAAATATGGAAATGAAGATCTATCATCTTACCAAAGCTTTTAGTGTAGAGGCACTGTCCCCTTGTCCTGGTCTCCAGGGAATACACAGCCAGAATATTGTCGTCGGGGAAACCTCTGTGACTCGGTACAAATGTTGCCAGCATGGTGCCATCCTGAGACAAATTACAGCTAGCTTCATTGTGAAGCTTACAATGCTGTACAATGATGTTGGACTTTGCTGAAATAAAAATAAATATTGAATATTACAGAGATCATTAAACATAGGTAATCAAAGACTAAAGAACTCAAATTTACAAGAGATGTCTGTAAGTTAGACAATGCATCATTCCAAAAGGAGTGTTCAAATGAAAGTCAAATGTAGTGACAGTAAAACTGCTAACAAGCATTCATTAGATATACAGCTATTCTCCATGCAAGTTTGGTCTTGACATTCAATGTAATTGCAACTTTCAATTAGGAGCTTAACCTGTACTCTTCATACCGTAAAAATTCTTATGTTTAAGATCTGTTGAAAGTTTTATAAGTTAAAAATATGTTGCTCTTATACCTGTATATACAGTTTTAATTAGAAAAATGTAAAAAAAAAAAAAAATCATCTTTTCCTTTAATTTATTTTATTCTTACTGTCAGTGAGATCTGGTATACAGCACTTGGAGAAATCCCAGGCTTGGATACGATACGTATGGTTGATAATGTTTGCTGCCACAGCAGGCTCTCCACGCCCCATGAAGGCATCTGAAAAAGTCAGTTGTTTTATACAGGGGGACATTAAATGTAAAGTATCCTGTGATTTATGAAAGATAACAATTTATCGACTGGGTCTTTACAAGGTTGCAGCATCAGAAAATTGCGATACAACTCACATATGTATAGGGATTTCTTGGTTTTTAAATGCTAATTTACAAACCTGCTATGGCTCTGTTGATGGCAGTCTGAATCGGGTCATTGGGTCGGTTAATTGTGTTGTCTAGGATACTGACAGAGTAGTGTGGGTGGAGATGATGTCGCTCTAGAGACTGCCAGTTCTGGGAGGAATCTGGATCTCGAGGAGCACTACAAGACAGGTAAATACTGTAGATCACCAAATTTTCGCAAGACCTCTCATTTTCATGAGATAGGTACTTAATACTTATCAGAGGGACAAAATTTTCAGGAATTCTATTTATTACTGTATATAATCTTAACTTATAAAAATACACACGAGAACAAAATTTTTGCAAGCAGAGGGTCTGGAAAATAAGGTTCTAGCAAATAAAAAGTGACTTACAATAGGTACTGGCTGCACAGGTACACTTGATTAATTTACAGGTGATTATAATGACACCTACCTGTGTGTGTGTGTACTACTTATGTCCTGGTGAGATGACCTTAGCGCCGTCTCCAGCAAGTGTTGTCCCCTCTCCATGGAATGTGTACCTACAGTACATATACATACAAACATCAATAATTGATGTTTTCAAATACAATCCTGAATAATTCAAATGAAAAATTTCTCTCTGTGTAAAAGTATCTTAAACTCAACCCTGAATGTGTTCCTATTTTAAGTACCAGGTATTTACATTATTTATATAATATATAAGACAAATTAATAATGTAAAATCTCACTGTCTTCCAATCGGCTTGCTGAGGCTCCTTCAGCTTGTTGGATGTGTCTGGCCACCAGAAATGATGTTGGTCTACGTCCATTTACATCCCCCTCCCGAGCAGACAAGAAAGACACTCTATGATGCTGTAATCTTCTTAAACTCTCGTTAAAGGTATTTCTGAGAGTGTTTATTCTTCTGTCTAGTTCATTCATCTCACGTTCAATACGCGCCGTAATGGAGGCAAAGTTCTCATGGATGCTGGCACATATGTCAATATTATCCCCCACCTGGGTTAGACGAGCATCACCCTCGGTGTTACTAGGTACATTATTATTAGATGTAGCATTATCCACATTAGAAGCTCCTGCGTTAGGATTCTCCACACGTCTTATTTCATGCATCTCACCTAACTGACTAGGATCGTGTATAGAGTGAACTTCTGGTCTCACCAGTGAACCATGTCTGTTATAGAAGTAAGGACGAGAGAATGCACTCCTTGCTGAAGCATTGTTTATTGAGTTTTGTAAACTCCTGCGTCTAGCTCGTAGCTGTGTAAACATCTCAGACTCACACACTCGCCTGAGGTGTCTCGTGTTGAAGTTCCCACAGACAGGACAGTTGTCTCTTTCACAGTCTGTGGTGGAGGAATGCTGGGATATGTCATTATTAGAGAGTCCTCGTGAAGCTATGTCACTGAGATTAACAATCTCCTCTGCCCTCTCCTCTTGGGGTGCTACATTAAATGCAACAGTTGAAGCATGAACTTGATTACCCAGCCTGCTGTGGATGGATTCATTCATTGCTTGTGACTCAGAGACAATTCTAACTCCTGTGGGAGGGTCCAAAGACTGAAAGGGGGGACTGGCTTGTTCTGGTGACCTCTCCGTAACAATCAGTGTTCCTGGGACACTATCACTGTTTGACACAGGCCTAGTTTGACTAGGCTCAATGTCTGTACTAACTACATCTGGTGTCGTCTCCCCACTCACATCATTCTCTGCTGAGGCCGCTCTAGGAGGGTTCCTCAGCAATCGAGGTTCTGCTGGACTAGATATAACATCCATGTCAGTGTCAGGTGAGGAGGAGTCATTAGAGGCACCAGAGGGAATTTCTGTCCTCTGGGGTCCCCCATAGGTTGATCTTTGGGAGGACTCTGTGATGTGGGAGGCATACTGCCTTGCCAAATTGAGGCCTTCCTCATGAACTGGTGAATGTGGGTGATTAGATGCACCATGTTGAATGCTAGAAGAGGACTGAAGATCTGAAAATCAAAAAATGTGTCATTTCACTACAAAGTATTGTCAATCTTATATATCTCAAACATGGTGAGACTGGAAAAAACTTTCAAGATACCCGAGAATTTGAGATATTAGAGAGGTGGAGATCTTAAACTTGTACGGGTACGTGTAGATGTACTTTGACGTACATGTTCTTGTAATTTGTCGGTTGAGATTTTACTGCCATGTAACATGAACGTGTAAATTGTGATCGATGTCTCCATTTCAACTATTTAGTCCATTTGTGATATCACTCTGACTTTAGCCAGTAAATAAAAGATGTTTGAAATAACTGCTCTTGAAACTAAACATCCTAAATAATGTACAAGTTATCAGTTTTCACACATTGACTAATATTTATTATAAGAGCAACAAGTTTACACTTACGTGTAGATGCCACTCTACAAGTTTTAGGAACGTGTAGACAACTTGTCATCACTAAAACTGATGACATAATATGCGAGGAATTTAGGGAATTCCCCTACTAGACGTACCCGTACACGTTTGAAATCTCAACCTCTCTAATAATGATTTGGACCAGACTCACTTTCATATATTCCTTAATCAACACTGACATATCAGTATTCAAGATTTCAAGATACCAAAGTATGCCTGTATTTGCACCTTTCAGAGTAATCAAATGCGAAAGTCTTTAAAGTGCGAAAAATTTTCTCTGCTTATAAAGCAATACACTTACATATAATTGAAGTACATAAGTCATGTCACTAGATCTGTATAAAGTCTTTAAGAACACAGAAATGATATTTTTACCCTGTCCTCCCTCAGTTTGGTTTAGGACTCGGTCTCGTCGAGATGCCTGGAAACATTCCACCAGACCATCATACACGTTACCCAGCTGCTGGGTTCGTGGGTTAGGTGGGGCGGGGCTACTGTTACTGCTGTAAATATCAAGGTTTATGTACTTTTTTTCCATCCTTTACAAAAATTGATTCAAATATCTACTAAATTCTGATTTGCATATATCTGTAAACTACCCTTTGAGAAACTGGTAGCTCACTAACCTTATAAAGGATACTCTGGACGTAGGTCTTACTGTGATGTTGTTGGCAATCCCTGTGTATAGGTATGAACCTAGGGGGTCAAACTTCACCCACCTACCATAGAAAAAAATACGGCAATATTAAAAATTTGTCAAGTTACTGTTGATGAAAAACTAATCTAATGAGGTATCAAATGATATATTTTTACTGCATATTATGCAGCAAAAAGTCTGGCAACTTTCAAGGGCAAGAATTCAACTTTCAAGAATTCAAGGGCATGTAATAAATAAATACAAACCTGATTTTTTCAAATTCAAATTTAGTTTTACAGACAACAAATGGCTCTGGTTGACTCCAATCCCAGAAGTAAATATGATTGGTCACTGAAAACACCAAAACATGGTCTGTGGGATGAAAGGTCAAAGAGGTTATGACTTGACTGTCCTTTGACCTCCAGACTTCTGTTCCACAACCCTGCAAATTGATGAATATCAGTCAAATGGGGAATTTCAATTTGCACATTGTCTTCTTGATAATTCACAGAAAATCAATTTCCAAAATAATTATGAACAAAGGGAAAAATGCAGACTTTAAACTCACTAAAAGAAAGAGAAATGTTTGTGGAGAGAACCAGTAAGTAGTTCTACTGGACATGCTGGAGTGAATACAGTTACTGTAGATCATCAAATTTTTATGACACCTTATTTTCACCGAATATTATTTATTTCATATTAAAGCATAATAAAATTTTCACAAATTTGGGTTGGTGACCCATATAATCTCTGATAATACAAATACATGTATATGTGAAATTAACATTTTCATGAGCAAATAGTCTCGTATGATTTAGGGAAAATAAAGTTCATACAAATAAGAAGTGATTTACAATATTATATTTACTGTTTTACCCTGGTAGAAAATGTACCGATAGAACTTACATGTAGGTCCCATATTCGGACCTCTCCTCCAAGACAACCTGAGGCTAGGATCTGATTGGACGAGGGGTGGAAGGCGAGACACCAGGGTGTGCGAGGGTGGCCTCTCAAGATGTGGAGACATTTACCTGTTGCTACTTCTGATACCCTAACTGTGTGGTCCCCATGTGTGGATGCCACCTTGGTTCTGAAAGAAAGACAAAATAATTACCCACTTAAAAACAAAAAGCTCCCAAGTGCCAGAATCACTCACCAAAAGAACCAAAATTCACAAACTTTGACTGATCAGGGGTAATGATTCCAAAATGGATGATCAAATAGCTATAAATTTGCTAAGTACATAACTTGTGTCTAGTTGAATTGGTCATATTTTCATATATGATCATAAGATTGTCAAATAAATACATATAACTTAGCCAAAAGCTACACAAATAACAAATGTATACTACAGGGACTTTATCTCCAACAAAAATTCTGGGATCAAACATTAATAAAAAATTGTAGAGCTAAAACAAAAAGACCTTTTTTTATTATAGAAGCATGATTTGATTTTGTCATTACATTACAACTCTAACAGTTTTCAAGACATTCTTTTTCAAGAATTAAAAAAACAAGAGGCCCAAGGGCCTTAACGGTCACCTGAGTATAATGCAACAATTTAGAGGATCCACAGAGTATAAAATGAACTGAAAGGTGAAGCTTTGTTACCCAAAAGCAAGAAAAATAGGGTGATCAGGATCAACAAAATAATTAATCTAGTATTCATTAACAGTTCATAAATTAGGTTCTAATCTGTTCCCCATTTATCACTATCACCATACAGTATATTAACAAACTTATCAATAGAGCCCCTTCCCCCTCCCCCAGCGAGAAACACCAGAGCCTCTCACCCTGGGACCAGAAGTTTGCCCATCATAAGTAATCACTTTGTTTATCTGCTTAACACTAAGAGCAGACAGGATTATTTAATAGAATTAATGCATTTTCACTATATTATCAAGAGCCCCACCCTTACACCAGCACATCTGACCCAGGGGTCATGCAATTCACTACTCTGGAAGAAGCATTCTTGCTCATCATAACTATACACTTAGCTTCTTTGCTTTTTAACCAGGAGAAGAAAAGAATATTTTCAAAGAAATTTTGCTTTTTCACTATATAATCAATAGAGCCCCCCCTCCCCTTTTCATCAGAACCCTTGACCCTGGGGCCATGAAATTCACAATTTTTGAAGAGGCACCCTTGTGTATCATAACAATGTACTTAATTTGTTAAAATAATACCCAGGGGCAGAGAAGAAGATTATCAAAGAAATAATTCACCTTCACTATAGGATCTATACAGCCCCACCCTAACACCAGAACCCCTGATTCTTGGGCCATGAATTTCACAATTTTAGAAGAGGCATCCTTGCTCATCATAACAATTTTATTAGTTTGTTTAAATAATACCCAGGAGCAGAGAAGAAGATTTTTAAACATAAATGCATTTATAATAAATAGAGCCCCGCCCTAACACCAGAACTCCTGATCCAGGGGCCATGAACTTCTTAATTTTGGAAGAGGCATCCTTGCTTATCATAACTATGTATTTAATTTGTTTAAATAATACCGAAGAGTAGAGTAGAAAATTTTCAAAGAAATAATGCACTTTCACTAGGGATGGGTATCGGCAAAAATTTCGTATCGCGATATATCACGATCCCCCCCCCCCCCAAATATCACGATAATATCATGCTATTTTTACAAGCAATTTTTGCAATGATTTCAAATGAATATTCATAAATTTTCCAAAAATATGCTGCAAAAACATAACTTCACTTTTTTTCATTTTTTCATTTACATAATATCAAGCCATTTTGGATGCTAGGATGCCGTTCTTTTACCGTTTTCAACATTTTTTTTACATTTCCTGTAATTGTAATTTGAAAGAATGAACAAATAAATGAATAATATCTGGAATTTACAACTATGTAGCTAAATACCGGTATTTTAGTCTCCGTATCACGATACGTATCACGCAATTAAAAATCACGATATACCGGTATACCGATAAAATCACACATCCCTAACTTTCACTATAATATGATCTATGTAGCCCCGCCCTAGCACCAGAACCCTTGATCCTTGGGCCATGAATTTCACAATTTTGGAAGAGGCACTCTTGCTTATCATAACTATGTATTTAATTTGTTTAAATAATACCCAGGAGTAGAGAAGAAGATTTTCAAAGAAATAATGCACTTTCACTATATGATCTATAAAGCCCCGCCCTAGCACCAGAACCCTTGACCCTGGGGCTATGGATTTCACAATTTTGGTAGTCACTCTTGCTTATCATAACTATGTATTTAATTTGTTTCAATAATACCCAGGAGTAGAGAAGAAGATTTTCAAAGAAATAATGCATTTTCACTATATGACCTATATAGCCCCAACCTAGCACCAGAACCCCTGACCCTGGGGCTATGAATTTCACAATTTTGGTAGAGTCACTCTTGTTTATCATAACAATGTATTTAATTTGTTTAAATAGTACCCAAGAGTAGAGAAGATTTTCAAAGAAATAATGCATTTTCACTATATGATCTATATAGCCCCACCCTAGCACCAGAATCCCTGACCCTGGGGCTATGAATTTCACAATTTTGGTTGAGTCACTCTTGCTTATCATAACTATGTATTTAATTTGTTTAAATAATACCCAAGAGTAGAGAAGAAGATTTTCAAAGAAATAATGCACTTTCACTATATGATCTATATAGCCCCAACCTAGCACCAGAACCCCTGACCCTGGGGCCATGAATTTCACAATTTTGGTAGTATCACCCTTGCTTATCATAACTATGTATTCAATTTGTTTCAATAATACCCAGGAGCAGAGAAGAAGATTTTCAAAGAAATAATGCACTTTCACTATATGATCTATATAGCCCCACCCTAGCACCAGAACCCCTGCAAAAGCAAGAGAATTTGACATTTCAGGGGCTATAACTCCAACAAGGATGCAAACTCTTGATAATTTTCCACCTGCAAAGTTTTGCCTATCCGAATTTTTTAATGTCTGAGTAATGAGCAAAATACTGCATATCACCCCCCCCCCCCCCATGTTCTATTTGTAGTAACAGTGACCTTGTTTTTGATTGGATCAAAATGAAAAGTGGATTGTTTTGTAGAAGACATGTTCCAAATCATTTTTACTACAAAGTTTCAGAAAAATCTGCCCTGTAGTTTCAGAGGAAAAGATTTTTTAAAAAGTTTGTGACAGGCAATGAAACCAACACCTATGGACCCCAAGTGATGGCATAAGCTCACTTAGAGAGTCAGGTGAGCTAAAATTATATTTGGTTATAGCAGGTAATACATTGTAAGGTACATACATGTCTAAACAGATTTGATTCAGAGTCTGATTCAACCAAGATAACTGATCAAGCTATTCAATATTATCTTTCAAAAAGTATCAAAGTGTCTGCAGAAGGGAACTTGTTTGGAAAAATTTATTAATCAGCAAAACCTAGAAGTTTGCTGTGTAGAAAGTAAGTTCTGATGATACTGATCTGAATACCTGTCCTTCAGTAAGAACAGAGTACTACAGAAGATACGGGGGGGGGGGGGGGGGGGGGGGGTCACAAAAACTCATGGAGACAATGTCCAATGAGTATAAGATTAAGACATAAACAGAAAAATTTATAACCATGCACATCACAACAACAACCAATCTAACAAACCATATGTTCCTGTTCATTTATTAATGATAAAACTCCCCCTTGCTATCCCTAGGTTGTAGTGACTTTGTTTGATCAATGATAAGGGGTCTTTGAGGCAGAGTTCAGGTAGAGTCCATGTCCTCAGGTGACCAGCCAATCAGACAGAGGGAAATAATTACAGACGGGACATGGAGAATTCATTAAAAGTCACATGCCATGGAAATTCAATAGCATTGTTAGCTAATGGTGCAAGTGATGATTCTCTTCTGGGTGATTTAGCAATTCAGTTAGATAAATTATCAAAATTATGTGCCTTTTAATCAATGTTTTCTCATTTTTGTGGATTTTTATTTTTAAATACATTTTTTCTAAACAGTAACCTGTTTCTTTTTTCTTTTCTTTTATTAATAAACTCACCCAAATATGAACTGAATTCATTTTTTCTGACTGAAATGTATTTTTTAAAATACTTTCTAATTTATTTTATTTTTTTTTTTAAACTTCAAACCTTTGGTTTTATAAAGAGGATAAGCAGCAAGCTTTATAAAACCAAAGGTGAGAAGGCCATGTTTCTTTTTGACCTCCCTCCCCCTATCCTAAACTGAAACCTCCTCTAAGATCAATCAAAATATATGACACAGCCACATAAAATTCAGATCCCTTACAGAAAGTGGCTGGTGATTGGAAAGTCCTGTTGTTAGATGCTAGACCTGATAAGTAGGGATCAAATCAAGATTAAGCCTTACACTCTTGATCTTAAATAAAAAGAAACGGCAAGTTTCGAACACTAAGTAAACTCAATATTAGGAGAAATATACTGACATTAATTATTATGTAAGAGTAGTGGAACAACAACCAGTCAACATCTCTTTTTTTTCTTTTCAGGACATGCATATATAGTTTATATACAACTGAAATTATGAATGAACTATACTAGTACATCTGTACGTGTATCCCTTTTAGTTCAATGGACACTAAATTTTCATTTCCAAGTGAATTATAGGAATGTACAGTATAATACCTCTGAGGGATCGTCAGAGACAGAGAATACCAATGAACCCAATAAATAAACCCAGACAACACATTATAAGTCAGATAGAATGCTCTGAACTATCGACCCCTGAAAGGTGTACACTGACATATATAGCAGAGTCTGATAATTGACTCCAGTGGTGATGTAAGGAATTGCTAGGTTACAGTGACACTGGGCCTCAGGCACTCAGAGTACAGACTAGTACTGTTTAATGTCCAGCCCAGCCACTGTTATGTAAGGTGATCCTGTTCTTGGCAGCCAATACCTCAAGTTATCATGATACAAGTTGTGAAATTTGGCTGGCATGTAAAAGTTCAACACTGATCAATAGCTATAACAATTATAAAGCAAGGTACATGTATGTGAATATATATGCTTTCTTATTCCAATAGTATGGGTAAATACAAGTATTATGTACTTTTCAATAGAAATGTCACCCTGAAGATTTTTAAATACCAAAATTTAAAAATAAATAGAAAAATATTAAAATAATTCAGAGAATGCAATAATGATACTGTATATTTCCTGTTGACTATACCGGTAATCAGAAATACAGTCTCTGAGTGTTGGAAGCACATTCACTAATGGAATGCAGTGGATTCCGTATAACTAAAACAAACATTTTTGCCCTGTTGATGTTTATATCTATCCCCTGTACCTGTTGACCGGTCAGTGACCTGGCTAGTCGGAGGCCAGACCACCAGAAATCATTTGATCGTACCAATTATTGGACCATTGTGTTTGATGTGCAGAAAATCTGACCCCTGGCTGACCAACGCTTTGCTTACTCTGGCCTTCCTGGTAGTTTAGAAAGATTACTGGAATCAAACATAGGCACTGTTTGACGAGTGGGAATCGGGGTGAATTATAAACATCATTTACACTTCATTATCAGAATCAGTGAATGAATCTTGTTGAAAAACATCCAAGTCTTCAAATACATTTTTTTAAAAAAAAGAAGTTAACTTACAAATTACCATTTAAATATATTCCTGCAAAAATGTTACTACCGAATGTACAACTTACTGCCAACAATAATTCTGTAAACTGATGAGGATACTATTCCAGTACTAAGGGATTATTAAGATTTTTCACAGCCCTGACTTTATGTGTCTATGCAGCAAAATAAACATTTTTATTTAAATAAAGTACATGTATACTGACTGTATATCAGATACTACTCTCAAACCTTACAAAGAGGACATATAAAACCCCACCTAAATCCATTAGACACATGTCTATGATCAAATTAAGAATCAGATTACTACATAACTACCATAGAATTACACATAACATGTCGTATATTTGTGCAATCGTAACTCTAGAAAAGAAGGTTGCACCTTAAGTCATGTTTGCTTTCTAAAGACTTTTAACTAATATCAAATCTCAGAATCCAATAGTCTAATAAAGTCTACATCAATTTTCATTACTGGAGTACTTTGAAAATGCTCTTTAAATTATGTGACCATACACTGCCCTGTCATACATAAAAATCTGCTTACCCATCAGGACTAAAATCCATTAAAAATGTAGCCCTGCATTGTCCCGACAGTTTACATGGCTGAAAAATAAAATGATCAAAATATGGTACTATACATGTAATATGATATGAATGCACATATATTTTTATACCTTTTTAACGTACAAAAATAAAAAATGTTACAAGACAAAATTTTTTTTTTCCCTTGTGGAAGCAGCTAACGAAAGTCAAAAAACAAAAATCTCTGATGAGATTGTAACTCTACTCGGGTATGTCCTTATAATAAAGGAAGATTTATATACAGTGTATATATTTTATTTTCAAACTTGAAGGGGGGGGGGGGGGGCACTAGTATAACATGATTTGGGCCTGTTAAGAAGTTTTCCCATTACTAACCCAAGTTTGCTGCATGCTGAATTTTTTGGTACACAATTATGTAATCAAAAACTAATATACAGAATTATGTATCTTAGTACCTCACGTACTTGTGTACCAAGTCTTATTGAAATCAGATCAAAATTGTAGGAGGGGTAGCATTTTGAGAGAATAGTACAGAAATTTCAACTTTTAGTAATCATGGCGACATTAGTTGAAATCAAAAACGGATTGAGAGAGTTTTGTACAAAATTATAGTCTATTTGTGTACCAAGTCTTATTGAAATCAAACTTACACTGTAGTAGGAGTAGCTTTTTTGAAAGAATTTCACAAAAATTTCTAATTTTAGTAACCATAGCAACAATTTTAGTTGAATTCAAAAATCGATAAAAAGTATTTTGTATCATATTTATAGTTTACTTTTGTACAAAGTCTTATTGAAAAGGGACTAAAACTGTAGGAAGAGTAGTGTTTGAAAATTTTTACAGCAATTTCTATTTTTAGTAACCATGCATGGCCACACAGTTCATCGAAATCAAAAACTGATAAATAGAATTATGTATCTCAATATACTAGTCTTCTCTGTACCAAGTCTTATTGAAATCAGACTAAAACTGCAGGAGGACGAGTGTTTAGAAAAAATGTTTACAGACAGACAGATGAACAGACGATGGACACCTTACTAATGCATAAACTCTTCTTGGTCCCTGACCAACAGAGCTAAGAAAAAAAAAAGCTTCATTGTGTTCCATTAATAATAATGCTTTTCATTATAAAATAAATCTCATCAACTACACAACAACAGATTTACCTGGTTTATGGTGGGTTTTGATCCTTTCTCTTCCAGATAACCCAAAACTGATGACCTTCCAGATTTGACCTTGACCCCTCCCCTCTCTCTATTGCTGAGGTAACTCAGCAGATTAAACTTGGTCATCTTCCTAGAGATTCACTACAAAGTAAACAAAAAACACCTGAAATCATAGAAATAAAGCATTTATAGTGCAAAGTTTGACCTGTTGAGATTTTATAAATATTTATTAAAACTAGATAGTATAAACATGAATGTCTTGCCAATTAATAAAAACAATTGCATAACTCAGGAATTCTTGAATTTTACTGAAGGGCTGATCAAGACTGATGAGTCCCCTTTACACTGTAGGCAAAGTGAACTTTAAATGTTAAGGGAAAATTAATGTTAAGGTTAATTAATCCATATTTACCTAAAACTGATGTATATATATCATAATTCACAAATAGAACGCTAATGCATAATACACGTACAAATCATACATAAATTGTTTTTCAAATTACAATAAACCAAAAATACTTTTTAAAATGGCTGATTTGTCAAGCTGAAATACCAACATTGAAAAAAAAGGGGGAGAACCCAACTCCATTTTAAACAGTTTTTAACAATTATAATAATATTTTGCTGGACATTTAATGTGCACAAAATACCAGTCTTTCCAAAATATGTCAGACTGTAGGACCTGACAAATGTGCAGTGCCTCAGTTCGATGCGCCATGTTTTTTACACCGGACTACAATGTCCGATGTCTGGTTTTATGTTTTACCATTTTGACATAGAATCATTAAAACATTTGCTTTAAGAAAAAATTTTGCACAGATCCAAGTACATAAATGAGTGTGATTAAAATTGCATGGACCCTAAGATATCCTTGGTTCTGCATTTTCACTTTTTGATATTAGTTTTTTTTCAGTCTGAAAAATTTGGTTGGTCCAGTGTTTTCCTCAAGTACACAGGACCAAATGTCCAGTGAGAACAAAAAAAACTTTCGAATAACAAAGCATTTTCCTAGACATATATCAAATAATATGCAAAAAATGAAAGCACAATAAAATAAACTATTAACTTTTAAAATAAAATTAAGTAAAGAAATTTACCAAGACTGAAGTGATTTCTTTAAATATGCCTTTGCATGTTGGTCCCTAAGAAAAGCACACCATGTGCATTTGATCAGTTTGGCAACCTAACGCAGAAAATTTATCTGCTTTACTGATTCAATCTATGTTCTGACATGGCGGAAGCTGCATTATGTTTGTGCAGACTGGGAAAATTGTTTGCATTTCCAGGACAAGAGCCAATAAAACTAATACAGCATTAATCTTGGTCGCCCTGCTGAGAAATGAAAGACAACAATTGTTTGGCCCTCCAGTAGACATGCATTGCTGTTGACATGCGACTTCATACCCCTTGATGCATTTGACCCCTCCTGTTGTCATCCATAGCAAGTTACTATGTCATTTAGCAGAAGGAATTTCCTTCTGTTCTCCTCCCCCCCCCCCCCCCTTCTCAAATAGTCATTAGCTCTGGCAGGGATCACAATAGCTTGCCCCCTGTGCTGGGTGTCTCTGGACAATAGGATGAGCCTGTTCTGTGGCTGCAAGGCCTTACAGGTGAATCAGTCAAGTCCTTAAATGCCCCATCTCTCTCCCCTGCACAGTGCAGTGTCCGGTCAACAGTGCAGCAGGGTCAACAGTTAATTTGGTCACTCAAGTTCATAAATATAGATAGCTAATAAGCAAGATAACCCAGAGAATTCCACAATATTACACATTTAATGTATGCAGGGACTGAAAATCTTCAAAACTGATAATCAGCATAATTTATCTTTAACAGATTTGTGAAGATTCTAAAAACTTCATGTAGTTTCTACGCTGTTTTCCTTCAATATATTTTGGACAAATTTGGGAGGGGGGGGGGGGGGGGGAAGGAGTCATCAGTACATGCAGTATATGTCTCCTTCATTTACAAATTCATTTGAGTGTTTCATATTTTAAACTGTCTTTAGAATTAAAGTAACAGATAAGCAAAACTAAAACATTACTATTTGTGGGACATATGTATATACTAAACTCCTTTCGAGTTGTCAAATCAATAAAAAATACAGATTTTCAACATTTACTTTTAGAAAATAAGCAAAAAAGCTAGGACTCATTAATTAAATATTTAAATAATAAATCATTTTAATTATTATAGTTGTATCTGCCACTGAAGTTGCATCATTGCGATACTCATGTGTGATATCTTCTTTTATGATAATATTATAAAATGAAAGGATCCTAGATGTTTCCGAGATATATTTATTTAAAACTTTCACATCAAATTAATATATATATGTATTTACATCAACTGAATATTATCTCCCTTTTTTCTTATACAAACTACTATCGTTTATCAATCCTTTAATGCTGCTAAGGAAGCCACTTGAGCAATGTCTCTTCCATCCATGAAACATACGATGACACACAAATCAATAATATAATATTTATCTACTTAATCCCACTTTATTTGATTAGTTATACTGACATAAATCTAAACAATTAAAAATAAAATGTTTCTGTTAGTACAGGGATTAATGGTTGCAGCTGTTGCAGAGAAAATTTACATAACCTGTTTACCCAGGTTGTGTATTCAAAGAAAGCATTTTATTGTTTAAGTAATGTATCAGTCCTGATATAAAATTTCCAATGATCATCATTTTCATAAATCATCCCTGCGAATACAGTTACTCTAAAGTGTAGACTGCCACATAATTTTTTTTGGGACATTATATAATTGTTTTATCAGTTCCAAATTTTGACCATGCAGTTCTGAATAATCAATATTAAGCTGAGAGCTGAAAATTAATAAATTTAAAAGTGTAAAAATACATTTGATACCTATGATATTGGGACCATGCTCGGAAGTCTGGTACATAATCAAGCTACTTTACAATGCAATAAATCCGGATAAACATGACAATGTGACATATTTTTCCACAGAAAATCATCTGTCAACACCTTAATTTTCCAAATATATTAACATTTCAGGTATCAAAAGTAAGCATCATATGTAATATAACAAACACCAACTTATATATTTGTTTCCTTGTAAAGGTTTTCCTCACTGAAGAAAAGATTGAAAAATGTCTTAATCCATTGGAAATACCATTATCTTACTAGGTGGCATTTAATTTAACTTTTCCTAGGCATTTCATTTGATGATGTACAGAACATATATTTTTAATTAATTTAAAGCAATATGAGCTGCAAGTTTGATGTCAGAAATATTTGTTGCAAAATTGTAATGAACTATTTCAATGACAGGAAAAAAGAACGTTTATAAAGTTTTGATGTTCATATTTGCGATGAAAACACTATTTTTAAGCTTTGGTTGAAGCAGAATTACATTATTGTCGTCCTGTACAATATTGATTCCTTATATAATACTATATATTCGATTGTAAAGAAATCTTTCTTCTGAAATTATTTAATACTTTATTTAAGTCAAATTGATCGAAAAGGTACAAATTACATAGAAATTTATCAAAATAGCACATTTTAACAGCAAAATTAAATTCTCAAAAATGCAGCTCATATTGCTTTAAAGTCAATCTGCATGGGAACAGCTGAGTTATTTGGAATTCATCAGCTTATTCACAACGGTAAAATGACTATCCACATTTACCATGTTTACTTGCTTTTTAAATTAAAGTTACTTTGGAATATTAAAGTTTGATCAATCTACATTAAGTACATTTAAATCCACAGGTCTTTGGACTACTGTGAGTACTTTGACAAACAACTTAGTTTTAAAATAATGCCCGCGTACATCTACAGTACCCCTGAATGGGTAGCCAATTCGGAACTAGTCAAACAACTGTATTGGCAACTATATCAAGTTGCTGTCAGTGTCTCTGCAATTATCAATATCTAGTGCAGGGTTACATGTCCCTAAGAATTAAAACAGCAGGGGATACTAGAAAAGTAGGAGGGGTTTAGGGTTCCTTCCTAAACAGTGGGATGAGGGGGAAATACCAGAGTAATCCGGGGATTACCTCATTATTGGTGGGGAAATTCTCTGGCCCCCAGTCTTAGGGACAACCCTAATGGGAGAAACTTGGAGAGGCTAACAATTAAAAGCTTCTACAGTACTTTAATGACTACACTTGAATACAGGATGCTCACTTTTTTTAAAATCAATATGCCATGCAATGATGTAAGCACTTTACAAAATCATAAAATTTACAGGGCTGACGCCAAAATGCAGATTATAAAAACAAAAATATATATAACAAAAGTATTCTATAATATTGTATAACCAGGGATGCATATCGAGGAAATTCGAGATTGTATTGTATAAAACACAGAAACAAAGGATTAAGATTCTGAAGATCGCTTGGCATATGTAAGCTATTGGAAATGTTTGACAGTTTTTAAATAAATACTCACCTTCTAATTAATTGCTGTGTGCAGTGAACATGTTGAAATCTGAAAATCCTGGCAATATTTGTTATTTTTACACACAGGATGTCGTTTATGAGACAGGTTAGGTAAAACTCATCGTACGAGAACCTGACGATCAGTTATTTATTTTTCACAGTTTTGATTTGACGGTCAGTGACTACAATCCTAGAAAAGATCATCCCTTACACACACGGAATCCTAAGACATTCTCACTCGCCTGCCTCGGCTGTCTCCGTGACTTCGAGTTCGACGAGCGGTTTTGAAAGTTAAAGAGAACCCGGATGTTGTCTACAAATGGGTCAAAGGTAAAAATGGCAGCGCCCATGTGTAAATATTTTTAGAGGTAGGATTTTTCTTACTTGTACATTTGTACATTTTCAAGCGGATAAAATGTAAAAAAGTTTTAAGTACTTGTCTTGGCGGGTGCGTCGATTTACCCAAATGGACCCAAATGGAACCCAAATGGACCCAAATGGAAATCAAATGGACCCAAATGGAAATCAAATGGACCCAAATGGAAATTAAAAGTTTATAATTGTCAATTAAAAATCAAAATAGACCCAAATGGAAATGAAATGGACCCAAATGGAAATTAAAAGTTAATAATTGTCAATTAAAACCATACATACCATGTAGTTAATTTAAAAAAAAATATTTTATTGGGTATTAAAAATTATGATGGAAAAAATTTATAAGATTAGTTTCTCATATAAAAATTTTGACGTATATTAATAAAAAAAAAAAAAACTACTTTTAGATTATCAAATATTTGGATCGTTAGCCGTTATCAATAGACTATTTTAAAAAAGTCTATAGATTACGTTGCCCAGCTCTTGCCACGTGGAGGCCATCCCAAAAAAAGAGCCATAATTTTGAATTTGGAAAATAAATATATTTAAAAAACACTAACATTAACATCGAAAGAAGAGCCAAACGAACTCACTTTGAATATTATTTTGGGAAAAAAATAAAACTATTACTTTTTATTCATTTAACTTAAATTTTTTTAAATGTATAAGAAAAATGTTGAAAATTTGTTAAATTGAGTTGGAATAAGAGCTGTAAAAATAAATAAAGAACTACATGGAAACTATAAAGAACTACATATACAAAGTACAGCAAAACTATTTAACATGCATAACAGCTAGATAATTTGGTTAATAGCATTTTATAAAGTTATAAACTAATCAAAAGCACATAATATTTACAATAAAACTTTTTAAAATGCACTACATTGACAGAGCTACTATTTCATAAAAAAAACTTTTAATGTAATTATTCCAATATTTTAGCTAACATATAATTTACAACAAAACTATTCCACTTGCACTATACGGAGCTACTATTAATAGTATTTGATTAGATACATCTTAAAAATGACTTAACTTCACGCACTGTGCCAATTCTACATACGAATGTACATAATATTTACAACAACATTGTATCTATCATGCATATCATTGGTGGAGCAACTATTTAATAAAATACATCTTATAATAGAGTTAATTACGCAAAGCAGAATATATACAACATATGAAAACTATATGGAACTACGTACATGTATACAAAGTACAGCAAAACTATTTAACATGCATAACAGCTAGGTAATTTGGATGAGAGCATTTTATAAAATAATAAACTAAACAAAACCAAATAATATTTTTAATAAAACCTTTTAACATGCACTACATTCATAGAGCTACTATTTCATTAGAAACATATTATAACTAACATATAATATAATATTGAACAAGTATATACAATATATTTACATGACATATACTTACCATAGAAATTACTAATAAAAATTAAGAATGAGATTGTATTTAGAGAACTGTTCTTATCGTGTCAAACACGACGCCCTACCAGGGCCCAGACTTAGTTCTCCAATACACAATCTTTTTCAAATACGCATAAAACTTTAAACATGTACATTTACTCACTATTGTCATAAATCAGTTCTATAATGGACGTTGCACAGAGTCCCTAATCGGTAAAGTAATTTTTGGTGCTTCTGTCACAAATCGGTCACATATCGGTAATGTCAATCTCGGTGTTTCTGTCACAAAATGTTCACATATATCGGTAGAGTCACAAATCGGTAAAATCGGTTTGAATCGGGAGTATTTAGCACCTGGTTCGCTCTGCTTTTGGTCTTTTCCGCTGACACGGTTTTTGAGCCACTTTGGATGTTGGTGGAATCTGTTAGAAATAAAAAGAATAATCAATACATTGATGCATGTATTTGAGATTTTAAAAAAATCTGGTAAACAATCATAAAATTATTAAGAAATATTTTAAAACATTTTTTTTTACCTGAAAGCTGCAATTGGTACTTTTAATGTAGTTGGTCTTGTCTTTGGCAATGGGTTTCTGACCGAGAAGTTTCCACACTCTTCTGTTCTTTTCCGACCTGCTCAGCTTCAGCCATACGTCGGGGGCAACCTTATGTTGTTTCTGGGAGTCCTCTAAGACATAGTTCCCGTTGCCATGAAGAGCACAGCGGAGGTCGTGGAACTGGATAGCACTTATTTCGTTAATTTTTGCGATAAGGTCTGGTATTTTGTGGGGCTTCCAATTTAACGACTGCTTTAAGCGATTATTCATGGATTCCGAATTGTTGTTGGTCCATTGTTCCTCGATTATCCCTGTTTGAAGTGGGGTGTATACATGTTTTTGAAGTAGAGGTTTTAGGCGATTTTCAAAATGTTGTTGGAACTGGGGAAATTTGTGCTTCAAATGGCTGTCCAAGTCCGCTGTTTTGGAATCGAATGAGAATGAGTCGTCTGCGTTTATAAGGCCTTCCTGTCCAAATATGGTGGAAATGATGTGTTCCCTTTCCTTCGTGCTGCAACCTTCTTTGTCCTTTAGATATCTTCGGACGTTATCCTTTAGGTGTTTGGTGCAAAGCAGTTGGATAGGATCCTTAAATGCATGACGAACAGCTTTCAATATGGCTTTTTCCTCATCGCTGCCTATTTTAAGACCATTTGGGAATCCCAGTTTTGAATTTAAATGGCAGAAAAATTTGTAGTATGAATCTGTTTCCCCATCCCAATGCAGCAAAGTGGGCCCAAGGAAAATGGGGTTTTGCAGAGTTTCTTTTTTTATGATTTTCCGGTTTTTGTATGTAGTAGTTGTCACAAAACATGGACCCAGGTTAAAAGTACGGTCTATGCCCAGAACGCTACCATTGGAGCCTGTACAATTTGTCTTTAAATCTTCCAGTTGTTCTTCTGAATAAATGATTATGCTTGGGGGTTTGTTTGGTGTTATAAATAGTTCCCTGATGTTGCTTTCCCCGTTCTGGCACATAGAAATAGCCGCTAAAACCTCATCAGCAATATTGTGGAGTTTAGGGTTGTCTTCCTTCTTGGATTCCCTGTAAACTTTATCCCTTATTTGCTTGGCATTTGGAGCATTCATGGAGTCATCGAGCATCATTTGGTGGCATGTTTTGATTGGCATTTGGTGGTTTTGTTGTGTAATTTTAGCGGCTTCGCGTAGGATCCCTGGATCTGTCCTCATGTAAGGCTCCTCTGTGGTTTTGTTGTTGCCATGGGGCGTCCTTACGGAATTCTGCTCTCCTTGGTATTCCACTAGAGCTATTTTCTGTTTCTCTTCATACTCCTTGGGCAGTTTTGTGAAGATGGTGACCCTTTTTTTGTAATTTTCGTCGATCTTAGACTTTGCGTAGTAGCGATGACTTTTTACGATTTCATCTTCGGATGGCTGTGGCTCCATCGGAGGATACTGGCGTTGACCCTGGACCATCTTCTCGAGGCAATAGAGTTCATTCTTGATGAAAACAGACTTCAGCTTGCCTTTCTGTGTTGTAAAGGTGGAGTTGACTGATGTGCCAGTACGCCCCCATGCTCCACAGTCGTCTGGAAATTCATGGACGTTGTCAGATGTCCTTTGCAGTAATAAATACACGTTATTTTTTGGTCCTCTGGGAATAGTTGATGAAATTGATTGGGTTGGTGACGTGGTAACTGCTTTGTAGGCTTCATCTATTGGCAGTTATGTTTCTCTTTTGACATATTTATTTCATATGCAGTGAGTTACAGCTTTGTCATGAAATGAATTTTCATTATTTGGTTCATGTATCAGATATACATGTATGGTTAGCTGATTAGTGAAGATGTTAGTCTTGAAATGATCCGTCTCAGAGAATCAAGTGAGAACAAGATCTCGAGGGAAATCTGTTGGTAATTAATTGAAAAATTCCAGAAAATGCTGTCTGTGTGCCTGTGAGGAGTTAATTATATCTGTTAATCTTCCACACACAAACGCAAAAAGAGCGGTCCTACTAAACAGAGTACGCTAGTACGATAGAGTACTTTAGAGTACGCTAGTAAAATTTAATAATTTAATGCAATTTAACTACTTTTTGTATGTTTTTCTACTTTAGTTAAACATAATGAATATATATTTTAAATTAGATTTGTATTTATATGTATTTTAGGAGTTATTTCAAATTCTGATTTCAGGTGACGGTTTATCGTTTGATCCCGATATAATTTAACTTGAACATGTTGAAATGTTTCATTGTTAATGTAAAAAATATTTATATAGGGCAATAAATTTAATTTTTGATAAAATTTAGTTGAAGTTAGTAAGTCTGAAACAAAATATTAATCGAGATCAGAGTGTTAATAATCTTTAACAGTTTAATGCATTGAATCATGAATGTTATTTTCTTGTCAAAATAGCGCTAAAAACAAATATTTTGAAATAAATATTGCAATATTAGTTTATAATAATGTTTAATCGAGTTATATTTACATGAATAAACAATTTAATTGCATTAAACTACACATTTTTTCTAGCGTACTCTAAAGTACTCTATCGTACTCTAGCGTACTCTGTTTAGTAGTACCCCAAAAAGAGAGAGAGAGAGAAAAAAAATCACAATTTCGAATTACATTTTTTAATGAAAATTCGTGGAAATATTTATCACAGCAACACTCTTATATTAGATATATTTTAATTGTGTGACCAAGTTTGTTTGTTTGTTGTTTTTTTTTTTTTTGGGGGGGGGGGGGGTTAAACTTATCTATTTCCATAAATCTAAATCCCACCAGCTGCCAGTGTTTTCATGACTTCTTTTTTTTTTATCTTCTTTATGTTTCAGTACCCAGCACACAAACTTTTGTCTGTAAGATACATTGATCATGTGATGTGAATATTTGTACATCTCAGTCATGACAACATG